TCTTTTTCCACGAAGTCGAAAGATGATTTGCCGGTTTGACGACATCGGTCGATATAGTATGTACAACGATATGTTCTACTATAACAATTTAGACTAGACCATTGGATTTGAGCCAAGGGCGGACTGGGAGGGAGGATGAAAGGGGTCCCTCCCTGAACGGCCAAATCTGCCATTCTTTTCAAGAAAATATATTGCTTAGCGTCAAAACTACCTTGCTACGGGACCAGCCCCCCTTTAGACGTTGCCCACCACCCCCCGCTCTTCAATAATTTTCACAACAAGAGCCTTTGTTTCAGAAGCGCTTAATTAAGCAGCTGCTAGTCCCGCTCTTTTTAATCCCGCCTCGCCTGTTAGAATAACGAATGTTTGAGCCCTTGGAAAATCTTAGAATTCCAAGCATTTTTGGAATAAGATAATTCTTAACGTTTATGTGTGATTCTGACGCCTGATTTCCAAGATTAAGATAGAAAATTATACTAAGTGCCATATAAATCCGAACACCCAGTTTAAATGGTTTTATTTTAATAAAATTTTATATAAGTACTTAATGAAGCATAATAAGTAAATGATAAAAATTTCAAAATGATTGCACTGCTTTAAAGCCCTTTGACCTTTAATAATGTGTGGATGCACCCTGATGTGCTACGCATTTTCCAACGCGCCTAGGCATGCTTCTGATCAGGTGGTCAATGTCCTCCTGTGGTATCTCATTTCAGGCAACTACCAACTCCTCTCGAAGTGCTTCTAGAGTCTGAGGAGGACGTTGCATATTAAGCAATCTCCTGCCCATCATATCCCACACGTGCTCAATTGGGGATAAGTCGGGAGATCTTGGTGGCCATGGTAACAATGTGACATCATTATGTTGAAAGAAGTCTATTGTGACTCTTGCAACATGTGGTCGGGCATTATCTTGTTGGAAAGTTGGATCTGCCAGGGTGTCAAGATAGGGTAAAAGATGGGGTTCTAGAACTTCGTGGATATAACGCTGCGCGTTCATGTTACCTCTGATGAAGATTAAAGGTGACCTGGTACCATAAGCTATAGCACCCCAAACCATAACTCCAACAGTGTGATGAACATGTCTTTCAACAAAAAACTGTGGATTCCTCCTTTCACCATGTCGCCTTCTAACCCTGGCACGATCATCGTGCATACCTAAATAAAATCGGGACTCGTCACTAAAGACAATACTGTTCCATTCCTGATCCCAGAGTGACCGTTGTCTGCACCACTCAAGGCGATTACGTCGGTGTTCTCGAGTTAAAGGGAGGACCCAGTGTGGCCGGTATGAAAACAAGCCAAAACTTCTCATTCGTCGGTAAACACTTCGCATGCCAATAGGTCTTCCGTGTTCTGCAAACCATTCATTTGCAATGGACCTGGTAGTAGAGAAACGGTCCCTTAAGGCCAATAATCTTAGGCGGCGATCTTCACGGTCTGTTGTTCTACGGCGGCGTCCAGTACCCCTTGCACTTTGCGTACGGCCTTCTCGAAGCCATGCCTGACAACACCTAACCACAGTGTCTACACTTCTTTGCACTCTAACTGCATTTGCCCGAAAAGAAAGTCCAGCTTCCCGAAGTCCCACTATACGGCCCCTATCAAACTCACTAAGTTGACGAAATCGTACAGGTCTCCGTACTCTAGGCATCGTAACCGATCGTAAAGGATGTCAAGAACCAAAATCCGCCAACGTTGATTCTTTAGTGCGGCTGAAATATTCATTTTTAGAGCGTTAGTGAATTAAAAAAAAGCAGTGTAAAAACCGGAATGTCCAACTGATAAGGCTGAAAATTTTTTCACTTGTTATTTACAGTAAGATAAATACATTCACCAATTTTTATTAAAATAAAACCATTTAAACTGGGTGTTCGGATTTATATGTCACTTAGTATATTATTGATAGTGGCGAAAGACATTTAGAATCAAATACTACTTCATTTAAAATGGGAAATCAAACAAAGCTAAACATTCACAGAATTATTCCTTGCAATAAGGTCAATTTTTAAAGCAAAATGATTACTCAAACCGTTTTATTTTTTGTCAATGGAATAGGTTGAATACATAAAGGTGATTTCAGCGAAAAATAAAGTGGTTTTTAACGAAAACTATAGCTGTACAAAACCAATATTAACATCAATTGCAGAACAAAATATAAGGCAGGGTTAGTTGTAGTGTGAGCTCGATTGATAACTACGTTATTACGCATGGTATCTAATAAAGTTAAAACAAAACTTGTAACCAGCTATATGCCTTTGACTTGGAAACAATTTTTTACTCTACGGGGTGATTCGTGACTAGATGATGATCGAAACATACATTTTTTAAACAAAATGTACTACATTTTATTGCAGATTAGTATAGGCTATTTCAGACGAAACATTTTGATATAACATACTATGGGGTTTTGTTTTCAAATTTTTGATATATTGGATATCGAAGAAAACACTCAACTCTGACAACTCGCACCTATTAGGCATATTTCATACATCATAGATTTCCGCGTAAAGATGAAAGATAAAAATATATCTTCGATAGACGCATTGGTGTAAACAACCATGTGTAGGGTGGTCGCTATTGTCGTTCGGGCGGTAGGCTTGGCTAGATCGCATTGTTGGACTGTGGACTGATTGTAAGAGCCTGTTTGACGGATATGATCCATTTAATGCCTCTGTTATACATGTTCGTAGCCAACGTTTTTCTAAGAGGGACTAACTTGAGTCGCGTAGGCCGAAGCCTAAATACAGGGTGGCCCATAAGTCCCTTGAGCTGGAAAAAAAGGAATAAAACCAAACTAGTTACATTATGAAGAATTATTATATTTTGTTATCATCTTTATTGAATGGGAACTTTGTTTTAAAAATCACATCGTCTAAATGCAATCCATTACGATCACGGCACTCGTATAAACGACGTCTAAAATTGTCGATGACTGCGCGGCAAGTCAACACTGTAATGCTTGCCATTTCTCTTCGGATATTTTCTTTCAGGACATCAACTGATCGCGGAGTGGTGTCGTACACTTTACTCTTGAGGTAGCCCCATAAAAAGAAGTCCATTGGGGTCAAATCTGGACTACGTGGTGGCCAGGAAATGTCTCCTCTTCGAGAAACTACTTTGCTGGGAAGAAGTTGACAGACGACGGGCATAGAAGTGTTGGAGGTGTGGGCAGTTGCTCCGTCCTGTTGAAACTAGGTCTGCGCATTAGAGCCTGGAAAGTTCTGCAACGCTGGTGTCAAAAACTCTTCTATCATTGCTACATACCGCTCCGAAGTAACAGTTAATGCGCGACCTCTGTCGTCCTCAAAAAAATAAGGGCCTACGATGCCATGCGCTGACATAGCAGCCCAAACTGTAACTTTAGGGCTGTGTAAGGACTTCTGATGCTTACGCCTTGGATTTTCGGGGCTCCAATAACGGCAATTTTGTTTATTTACATGCCCGTTTAAATGGAAGTGAGCCTCGTCCGAGAACAACACATTATTGAGCGAAGAAAATCGATTCAACATTTTATTCGCAAAGTTTAGTCTCTGAATAGCGTCATTATCTTTTAATTCCTGCACTAACTGAATTTTGTAAGCGTGCAGACGTAAATCTTTCCTTAAAATCCGCTGTAAAGATGTTCTGGGTACGTTTAGTGCACTGGAACGCTTACGAGTAGACTGGGTAGGATTTTGACGAACAGACTGTGCCACAATGTTGATGTTTTCTTCAATACGAGTTGTCCTTGGTCGACCCCACCGCTGTTTATCTAACGTCGAACCAGTCTCTTCGAACTTAGCAACCCAGTTCTTAATCGTTTGAGCTGTTGGACACTTTGTAAAATTGTGTAAATTGTGGTATTCTCGATATTTACGCCGCGCAATGGTTGCCGAATCATTATTTTGATAAAACGCGCGCACACAAAAAGCACGATCCGCTCCAGTGAAACACTCCATGGCGACTGAATTCCCAGACACTGAAGATACTGCCCCCACCTCGCCCGCGCCGCTCACGCTCACCCGTTAAATTTTATTCAAATTTGAAATTTCAAAGGACTTATGGACCACCCTGTACTATGGCACCGCGGCTGTCATGATGAGCTTAAACAAACTTTATTAATCCGATTTGCCTAAGGGTAGTGGAACAGGAAAAAGACTCCTCAGGTAGATTGTTCCATAATATTGATATGGGAAAATATCATTTTAGTTAGTTAGTACTTTAAGAACAAACGGCTGCTTTCAAATTTCTCAAAAAGATGTGTCAAAACTACACCTCGAACAAGTATTTCTACATATTATAGTGAAAACTATGTAACACTGACGACGTAATAGATACCAGACAGAAGCGTGCAATACGTGTGTTAGAAAGAGATGGAAGCACCTCGTTGCCTAGCAACTCAAGTGACGAGGCCACGGACGCCAGCACTCTTTCTAACAAACCTATTGGGCGCTTCTCTCTAGTACACATTACGTCCGCCAAATTTGGATCTCACCGTATAAGTGCATTGTGAATAAATACATGGGCGCCCCCAGGAATTTTTCTGAGGGGGGGCGATAAGCGGTGAGAGATAACTTTTCGTGAAAATGAACCGACCCAAAAACTTTTTGGAGAGCAGGGTTGGCAAATGTGCACAAAATCATTCTAAATATGCAAATTTTAAGGTCCAATCGGACTCTCAAGGGGAACTGAAACTGTGTGGTACCAAAACAGAAGAGACAATACTCGTACATGCTACACCATTGCTGACGCGAATGTTTGAATACAGCGAAATATGCGCTTACCGACTTTGTAGATACAAAGGCATGGTACAAATAATCTTTGGGTTCCACATTTTGGGTTGGAAAAACGAAGATATCAGCATTTAGCCTCGTCTATTCCCCAAAGGGTTTCTCGAGTCCACTTGTACTAATTTCTGTAAGTCTTAAGCCTATGAGAATGTAATTATGAAAAAGTCCGTGATTTCCACGTCCACATATCTAAAACCAGCATTAAAAGTTTCCCACGGCCTGTTTCAGAGATCATTTTCCATTCTACAAGCAGAATGACGACAGGTGGAAGAACTCAGTCCGGCACAACTTGTCGATCAACCCTCATTTTAGGAAAGGCGGTAAGGCAGTACAAGGAGCTGGACATCTGTGGACGATTGCCCAAAGAGATGACAAGAAATCGTGGCAAATCGTAAGTAGAAATGATTCATCACCCTTCTGTTTCTCAGTAAAATCGGATCGCATTCAATAAATCGAGGTGATTGGTATGATCACTTCTTTGTTACTAGGATGAGCAAAATTGCTAAACGTGAGAAAGCTGTAATTTTCTTCAAATAAGTTTTTTTTCTAGAAGGAACGAATGAATCAGTTCATGCAGAAAACTCGTAAGGAGATCAAGACTCCAGAGCAAGAAGCATTTGATAAAGAGCTACAGGCAGCTACAGAAAGTATTTTGGGAGAGATGGAAATAGAACCAGCAAAGGTAAATTTATATTTTCAAAAATTGGATAGAAAAAAGTTTGTAAAAATTGCATCTGGATAATTTTGACATACGGTTTCAATGATTATGATAGTGCTATTTACGGATGATTCTTATAGAGTGACGATAAAAGTGATGTTATTACTTTCCACGCCAATTGGCGAAGAATTATTGTACAGTTTCAACATCGAGATCAGATTTTTTGCTGTTAAAGTCATCTAAAAAATAAAATGACGTCAAGTTGGTCGTATCTGCACTTCCCACGCAACACTGTCATCATTTCGTAAATGATTATTTTCACCACAACCTGAGGCAGTTCAAAAATCGGATTGACAAAGTTAATCAGCAGCCGCGGTACCCTGGTGTTTAGGCTTCTGCCTGCGCGTCTGTTTAGATATTAAAAAAATAAATTTACTTTCAGTGATCAAAACATTTCAATATTCTAAACTTCTTTTTTGAGTTTTTTTTGAATTCCACCGCCACAAGAGATTGTGATCAGATATTCCTCATAAAATTCTTGTGTTCTTAAATCGTTAAATGCAAGTACATCATTGTGTTAGAATTACTGAGACCCAGTTTTTTTTAATATTTCAGCAGACTGTAGAAACTCCGATCTTCGAAAAGAAGAGCAATAACATCGAGATTGAGTACATAAACTTGGCTGACGTTTCGCACGGCCTGGAAGGTAAGAAATAATATTTTTGTCAAAAATTTGTGATTTATACAAACGTTTTCTTTCCACACTTCTTGCATGCATCAAAAGAAACGCTAGGTAGGTCACGTAGTTTATAGAACCTATAAAAAAGATTGAGTATTTGAATATATATGAATATATATATATATATATAGGTGAAAAATTAAAGCTTCCGCCTTTTGTTGGGTACTTCGACAACATTTAAGCAAAGAGGACTCTTTATACTTTTTTAATTCTCTCTAGCTTTCAATGGACTTTGCCATCATCATCAGGAGCTGCAATTACAATGATAACAGTAGCAACAAAAGTGTAAAATGAATTTAAATTGAATCAACTTACAGTAGTATGTGAGGATGTTGCTAATTGTTGTTTTCGTATAGGATGAGGGAAACGTCCAGTAACATGGTGAGAGCTGGATACATGGTACAATGGTTAAAATTATATAAAATATGACAAGACAAGTTAAAGACAGATTAAAAATTATTTAGAAAACATTAGAGCATTACGTCGTGAAGCCACTTGATGATTGCACAGAATGGTGGTCATGGAATAATGAGTGAGATGAACCTTTGACAGAAGGCCGAAGGTTGTCAATGTCTGTGTTGAAAGATGGAACGAATTGTGGGCGTGTGCCAAAACGTTGCCAAATCACTTCAGATGATGTGATTTTCAGAATGTTATGTAAGAAATTGTTAAACCGACCAGAGGCAGTTGAATAAACTACATTTTAATTAATGGGAATTTTAAATTAACAATTATTAATAAATCGTGAGAAGAGAATTATTAGATTTTGAGTGGAATGAAATTTGTTGGTGGAATCGGCCAAAACACAGATTATATTTATGGTTGTGAAAAGTCGAAATTTGGGGAGATATGTAAGTTTTCTAATTTTTCGCAGTTTAGCAAATATGAGTAAATGACACTCAGTTGTTTAATATCTGTCTTTTTGTTGATACAGTTGTTATTCATGAAAATGTGGGACATTTCCAGGAATAAACGTTTGGAAAGGTGTTTTTCTTTGTCAAGAACTTTGATACTTGTGTAATTCATAGAATGCCCTGTTGTGTTAACATGAGATGCTAGAGCGCATCTTTCAGGATGAAGCCTAGCATCACTTTTGTGTGATGTAATTCTTCCTTTAAGAGATCTGGAGGTCTGACCTATGTATATTTGGTTGCAGTTGTTGCAATTGATGGAGTAGACTGTGTTAGTTAAGCTAAGCAGCGGGACTTTGTCTTTCATTTTATTAAAATTAAAAAAGTATAAAGAGTCCTCTTTGCTTAAATTTTGTCGAAGTACCCAACAAAAGGCGGAAGCTTTAATTTTTCACCTAACTGGTTTAGACGACAATGACCACGTCTCAAGTTATATATATATACAGGGTGTTCCATAATTATTGCGACAAAATGATCGGGGCTGTAGAGGGCATAAAAATATGCAATTTTGCCTTATAAACCCCTGTTCGTAAATATGCCGTTTGAGCACTACCGCTAATTTTACCTTAAGAGCTCATAGGAGAAAAAAAAATTCAACAGCTGCAAAATGTTCGTCTAGCACAATTCATGGTCTCGCCGGTTTGTAAAAAAAAGCCTGCTGTGTTTACATTTTTGTTATCGTAAATTTTCCACACCGATTCATTTAATTTATCTGAGTGGTGCGTCAAACTAGATAGTAAATAACAGTACCTTAGTGTTAAAATGCAGCGTTATTCGTATGCGGAACTTGTGGATATGCATTTAATTTACGGAGAAGCTGGTGGTAACGGAAGACGAGCCTCGCGAATCTACACCCAACGGTTTCCAGAACGTCCTCATCCGCATCACGCCATTTTAGCAAGGATTCATGGACGTCTTCGTGTCAGTGGCAGCATCAGCCACCTCGCGGGAGCAGGGCGGCCCTTCACGAGGCGCACAGTAGAATTTGAGGAAGCGATTCTGCATCATGTAGAGGCCAATCCGCGAAAAAGCGTGCTTGCTATAGCACATGATATGGGAGCATCTCAAACTACTGTTTGGCGGGTTCTCCATGACCAGCAACTACACCCATACCACCTTTTAAAAGTCTAAGCCATGGGTCCAGAAGACTATCTGCCGCGTCGACATTTTTGTCGTTGGTGGCTGCAGCAGGAGTTGAGGCAACCAAACTTTGGCCGCTACGTTTTGTTCACTGACGAGTCCTGTTTTACAAAGGACGGTTATTTTAATAGCCGTAACAGTCACATTTAGGATGAAGAAAACCCTCATGCCATAGCCATCCATAGAGACCAACATCAGTTTTCAATTAACATCTGGTGCGGCCTTGTGGACGAGGATATCATCGGGCCATATATGCTTCCACCACGTTTGGATGGGCATGCGTATGGTCGATTCTTACAGCACGTGCTACCGGAACTATTAGAAAATGTGCCACTGAACATAAGAGCCAACATGTGGTTTCAACACGATGGCGCTCCAGCCTACTTTTCTTTACAAGTGCGGCAGTATTTGGACGACAAATTTCCAAATAGGTGGATAGGCCGAGGTGGCCCTGTGCCTTGGCCTGCGCGGTCACCTGACCTGACCCCACTGGATTATTTTCTCTGGGGCCATCTGAAAGCTTTAGTGTACGAAACTCCTGTTCCCAACCAACAAGAGCTACTGGGAAGAGTAATGGCCGCATCCGCACATGTTCAAGACATACCGGGGGTATGCCACAGAGTTCGCCGATCATTGAACAATCGTGCACAGCTGTGTATTGAGCAAGGTGGAGGACACTTTGAGCAATTACTGTAGGTAAGCTGTTTCAAGAAACTGATCTTTTTTTTTGCTGCAGCCCAAACGGCATATTTCCGAACAGGGGTTTATAAGGAAAAATTGTTCATTTTGATGCCCTCTACAACCCCTATCATTTTGTCGCAATAATTATGGAACACCCTGTATATATATATATATATATATATATATATAGTATTTATAGTTGATTGCCTTAACTGTTAGGAGAAGATAACCTTTTAATTTCTTTGGGTAGAAGGCAAAGTACTGCAAAAGTACATACTTATAACTTAAACTCTCAAGCTTTCGAGGATCTATGTCTTCATCGTCTGGAGTAAGTCGGCGAGATTGTTGCTGAAACAGTTTTTAAACAACAGTGAAGGGAAACATAGTCGACGAATAAAAAACTGGACTGATGAGGTTTGATTAGGGCGGAATTATTTTATTATTAAATGGGAAATCATTTTGACCGTCGGCCGGCACGTGTTGGATAATGTGGAGGTTATCAGTGGAAAAAAGATGAAATCTCGAAAGAATTTTCAGTAGCTGATAGTTTTAAAATCTCCAATTTTTTTCCAAAACCAATCAACGTTTAATTAAAAAAACCATTCAAAATGATTTGCCATTTAATAATAAAATAATTCCGTCCTAATCGAACCTCATCAGTCCAGTTTTTTATTCGTCGACTATGTGTTCCCTTCACTGTTGTTTAAGAACAATTTCAGCAACAATCTCGCCGACTTACTCCAGACGATGAAGACGTAGATCTTCGGAAGCTTGGTGAAATAACTAAAAATGTTGAATCAATTAAATATTTAGGTATATACACTTATAGTGAACTAAAGTTTGATGATCACCATTATTTCAAAAATTGACAAAAAAACAAATTACTTTTATATGGCTTCTCATAGTTTTGGTACATATTCCAAGAAAATAGTTTAAATACCCATATTGTTCAACTATCTTGTTCACTGCCAATGAAGCTGTATTCTCAAAATTACAAGTCCTGCAAAAAGCTATGAGAATAATATGAAATAAAAATAAGTACACCAAAATAAAATCTGTGTTTCAAGAATTGCAGTGGTTGAATATGAAAATTTTCATATATTTGGTTCTTATTTTTGTATTTAAAATAAAAAATCCTTTTTCCACAACATTTAGAACACTACATAGAATTGAATAATCATTACCACAATTATTATACAAGAGGAAATATAGATTTTCGTTTACAAAATTGCAACAGTAATATAACTAGCAATTCAATATTTCAGAAAAGATTACTTGCATTTATTAAACTAAATAATGATATAAAATCAACTTGTAATTTAAAGATATTTAAAAGAAAATTAAAGGAATATTTCATGGACAGTCAAAAATCTTAAGAGATGAAAATTTTGTTTTTTTCTAAATATCTGTATATTATGTAATTGTTTAGTTTTTCAGAAGAATGTAATTGTAGCAATCATGCTAAATAAATCTTAAACAAACAAACAAACCAGTTTCTCGGGGTGACCATTGGGCCTATTATGTCTTTGCCCTATGTTCGTGTCACGCGCCCAAGAACCGGCTTGATGAGAGACGACCAAATATCAAACAAAATTTTCAAAAATTGTCTGAGTACATCCCCTTCCCCGCTTTTCAATTTTTCTCAACGGCAAAGTAGGTCCTCGGATTTCATTTTGACTTAGGACAGCCTTGTTTAGCGTCCATATAACAACAAAACATGTGTCCTGTTCATTGATGACATGTCGCTCAAACGCTTGTAGCAATATATACTAAACTAGAATTATTCTGTGTCAGCTGTATAATAAAAGTCTTTTCTGTCTAGATTTCCTATCTCCTCCAGTTTCCAAGCAAGAGATCGTTGACGAATGCGGTTTAGGTAACGACTTCTTCATCACTGACATAAATCCGACCACTCTGGGGTTGAACTTAGTGGAATCAGAGACGCACAATGAAGAGGGTGTATACGAGAGCGTTTTCGAATACTACAAAGAATAAGCGAGAGAACTGAATCTTTGAAAAGTGTCTGTTATCAGTTTGATTTTGATGTATGTATTTTTTTTCTTAGATAATAGACAAAGAGATCGCCCGAAAGAGGCCGATCTAACATGACTTACCCTGCACGTTTGCAGGATCCCCGGAGTAGAGACTAAATATTTTTTTTTAGAGTCTAAATTTCCCACTCTTAGTTTCCGCGTCGGGTCCCGGAGAACTTATATCCGCAACTGCGTCCGATAATTGTTTTGAGCATGTCATTTTTTAGTATACATCAGTGGCGTATATAGAACATGGGTTTAAAAAAATCATGATATCTTTGAGTGGCCGGCCAATAAAACTGGCAATTATGCTTTGTACAATTTTGAGGAAATTTGCATAGTTTTATACTTTCAACTTGCAAAGTAAAATTATCATATATTGTTACATGAGCATGAGGAATAGTGCCAAGTATCAGTTTGTTTTAACATCGTTATTTCAAAGTTAAACTGATTTTGGAGTCCACGTAGGCATTTTAAGAAAATAATTTTAGGATGATCATTTAGGCGAATGCGAGTGATATTATGGCAAGTTCGAAATGAAATTCTTTTTAATTACAGTTAGTTATATATTCCTTAGTTTTATAATACTTTTATCAGTATTTCTTATTCGGAAAAATATGGATTGGAGCTCGAATTCGTTCAGCATGTTAGTAAGTTTGCAAATTAATGTTCTAGTGATATGTTGTTACAAAAAGCATTGCTCCATACTTTAGTAAGATTCATGTACTGAGTAGTATTTGTGTATTTTTCGTCAGACCTTTCAAAATCCAAATAGTAATAAATATAACGAAGTGAAAATTTGTCCAATCATTAAAACTGACTAATATTTGGAGTTAGTCTCTGATATTCGATATTTTGTTTGTCTCTTCTTTATGATGAGAGTCCATCAATATATCAATAGAATTGTCGAATGTATGGGAAGCATAGCACAGGGAATAATTGGACCGCGTTATGCATAACTTGACCAATAGCCATTTGATAAATTTCCGTATTTTGCTGCCATATGATGCACAGTAGTTCAACTTACATATAAAAAAATGCAGGCTGTATAGAGACCTGAGGTTCAAACGCAAACACATTTTTTACTAAGCGCCAAACGTAATATTTGTTATTTATTTTGCAACAGATGACCAAACGACTAGATTTTGTGTAGAGTCTGCATTTGCACTACCAAAGTTTTGTATAAAGTGACCAACATTGAGAAAAGACCATCGAATGCGTCGATTCAAGCATTGCTTAGTAAACCCCTCGAAAAACTGGTCAAATGGGAAACCTATAGCAGAAAAGAAACTAGACGATTTAAAATCATTACTAAGTCTCATACCCAAGGATTCCAAGATGTTCTATAGGAATCTAGTTGGCGATTCAAGTATTGAGGAAGATGTAGATGGGTTCAATGATCAACCAGATTTCGAGCTTGAGGAAGAATAATACAAATTTTCGATTCAGGTTCTTGATTCATTTCGAAAATGTGTGGTTACTTCTTGCTTCATTTTATTTTTGAATCAGTATATAATTGAGTTTATTCTAACATTTGTCATTCAAGCAACTTCTTATTTGGTTTCGGGAATGTCTTAATTTGTGTAGTTTTAATTTTTCAATGAATTTGATGCTAATTACTATAATACAAAAATAAAGAATCTTTCTGCAATGCGTTCCTTATTTTCTATAGCATGACCAAGTAACATTTTTGTGTTGAAAAATGAGCATTCATTTTGTAAGCAATATTTGACCAAGCGCCATTTCATTTCATTAAGTTTCAGGTATAAGAGTTTTTGAAAAAATGATTACATACATAAATTTGTAATATCATTTTCTATTCACAGAACAAAAAACATTCACCAAAAGCGTAGCATTGATTTTTAGTGGATTGTTAAAGTTTATTCATCCTTCTGAAAAACACAGATTTGTCGCTTGGTCAAGTCATGCTTAACGCGGTCCAATTTTAGTGCGTTTTTATAATTAAGCATAAATATCATATATACCGTCCAGTATGGTTGTATTGTGACACCTACATCAAATCAAAATTAGTTTTAAGTGTACAAATTGATTACTGATATTTTGATACAAACGTTGTTTTTATGATTACGATTGCTTGAAAATTGAGTGTAATCTATTTCTAGTCTATTGTACCTTCAATAAAAATTATAGAGTATCTACATACAATGTTTTTTTATTTTTGCAAATAAACATGTCATAAAGATATTAGAACCTGATAAGGCAGAACATAAATTTATAGACTGGTATGCTTAAAAAGCACTTCTCTAAGATCAAATGCTCGTGTGACCATCGAAGAGCGGAGGGCGCACGTCGCACAATTCAGGTCTACCAAGCTATTTTCACCATTCATACAAAGATATAGCATTGTTATACATCATTTTCTTGAAAAAAAAATGACAGGCTTGGACGTCTCTAAGTTTACCTTTGCTGAGAACAATGGCATTCATATGTTTCCGAGAAATACCATTTTCCAATGGCGTTATCAAAAGGCGGACATGTTTTTATAAGAATATGTTGTCTATAGAACTTTGAAAGTGTTGCTGAGCTCATAAAATTTGGCGACAAAATTACTACAATCCGCGGAGTTATGTGCAATACATTGGAAGTTTCATATTCTCAAACTCCAGTTTCCAGTGTTTTTGAGCTCCTGGTAGTATTTAGGCAAATTCATGAGAGTTTTTAGAAGGTTCAAGATTTCTCAAGGCATTGGTTTTTTGTCCTTAGCCTAGTCCAATACTGATAGATGGTAAGTGGACATAAAAAAGTTATTCTCTTAATTATTGTATAATGTAAAAAATATAAAAATTCTCTATAATACAGAATGAGATATTTTAGTAAAAGTAAAAAATACTAAGCCTAAATATTATGGAAGTCTTATTTGGACGGAATTATTAATATATATACAATATATAATAAACACCTCAAGCATTTCAATTTAACAACAATTACAAACAGAAAAAAAAATATGGAAAAAATATCTTCCATGTTACGTCTATTATTGAATATCAGGATTATATCCAAACCGAATATATTCAGAAAGTAAAGATGATTCTATAGTGATACCATGTCATAATACATTACAAAAAAATAAATTACCACAAAAATTGTAGAGAAGCATTGAAGTCATTTCAATGGTACACTAAAAATCATTTGTACTCTAATAAATTCAAGAGATGTTTCTTACAACATATAATACAAAGATAAAAGCAAACTTGAAAAAACTAATTTTAAAGAGTACCCTGATTTATGGCCATCATTACATCTGTGATCTAGGAAGCAGAAGCACCATGTTGTTGAATCATAATAATCTCTGAAAAAAAAATAGTTATTGCAGTTTATCGACTTTGCAGTTTGCGGATACTTCTGAAACATAATTTTGTCAGGTCTGGTAAATTAGAGGCAAGAATTTTTAAAATGAGATGGGAATGAGAGGAGAAAAAATGGCATTTTGGTTGCAAATTTATGAATAATACGTAAATTATTTAAACATTTAATATCAAGTTTCTAGAAAATGCTGTATGTTAGTAATTACATAATCTCTTGTGAAATTAAACTCACATGAAGCTTTGTAATAAAGTTATAATATAGATGGGCAACTCATACCATGATATCTAATGAACTATGTAAATAATGGCATTATTACCTTTTAATATCAAGCTCCTTGATACTATTATTAACGTAATTAGCAAGTTTTTCATCAACTACTGCTGGCCTACATCCCTCATAACGGTCTGGAGGTATGTCTTTCCTCAATCCTAACATAGAGCTCAGACAGTCCCTAGTTACTGTTTCAAGTCCTAAAACAGAACAAAATGTAACATTTTTGAGCCAATAGGCTGTAAGTATTCACATTTTTAAGCCCCTTACCATTTTTTCTTTCAATAATCTTAACGCATACGTCATCGTCTTCGGGACATACTTTTGTCCAGTGCCACAGCCAGTTAAAAGGGGTTCCACAACCAGGTTGCGTAGACACACACTGGTAGCACCAGATCGCTGATGCTATAACGAAAAGAGAGAGATGTTTGGATTATAAAAAGCAGTATTTCTTTCACAGGCTGCTTTACACTGTGGATATGATTTGGAGCATTATTTAACCAGTGTGAATTATTTTGCCACACCCCACAAGAGGAATACTTACCTCGAGCTATCAATATAGTGAGAAGGCTTAACAGCACAAGAAGGAAACGGTCAGGCATTGTGTCGTTTTTTAACTGAAAACTAATTAGGGCTTAACAAAAATGTGTCGATGATTTTTATTTGGGATCTACCCAAATATGAGTAACGATTTGTTGATGTTGACTCTGTTTTGACAGTTATTTGAAATGTCTCAATTTGAGGTTAGTTCCGTAGCGTCATCTTAAAACAGAGATCTGAACCTGTGATGGAGATAAAATATTTTTTGAATGTCTCGTTCACAAGGATGTTCGAAAGCAATGCCCAATGCAATAGTTATGGATTTGGATAATGGTAGGAAAACAGCGGATCGATATCAAAGTGAAGCGATGCTTATTTTAGTAGTTTCTCCATTGTTTGTAGTTATAGGAGAAATGGCTCAAATGCATAATAGCGACATCTAGTGACGATTATTTTCAGCAATCGAGATCTCTGTGAATATGGAGAATTGTTTTATTAAAACTTTTAGCGCCATCTTCAAATATGAAGCGTAAATATCACTTTTAGTTGTCAATAATTCTAGATAAAACATTTATATTTTTAAAGTAATGTTATTAGTAAAGTTATCAGAAATTTATAGAATTAATATTTGTTATGGCTAGCGATAATAGTTCTGTTAAATGATACGAAATTGTAGAAGCTTTATTTGTTAAATAGAGCCCCTAGGAATAGTTTCAGACAAACATATGGGTGAGAATACAGTGCCAAATTAAAATATTAGAAAGAATATGTTCTCAGCTTTTAAAAGGTTTACAAGCAAAGGAGATGGGAGCCCCAACAGTCTTTCTGTTTCTGTGGGATCCAGGCTCCCAAGTCATCAGACAATGTCAACATCTCTTCAAAGGAAATTTGCCAGAGGAGTACAATATAACAGTAAGTTCATATTTTACAGTTACAGATATTAACATAGAATACTGCTGCAAACCACAATAGAAAAATAAAAAGAATATTATTACCATATTCTTTTCAATAAAGAAAAACGAGTCCTTTTAGGTAGAAGGAAAATCTCTCACAATGAACATCAACCAAGTTTTTTGTAGAATGTCAAAAAATATTTTGAAACATATTAAGTTTAATATGAAGGAATATGTAATGTATCTATTTCGGTGCATTCTTGGCTAGGCAAATGTAATATAATTGAATCAGTAATTTTAAAAACAACTTGAGTCCGATTTATACTACATAACACATGTTTAATCCAAAAACATTGTATGTTCAGGACCTATGTAGTTTTTGGATGCACTATTTGAGGACACATATGTGAATGGGTTTATTCTGTCTTGGTTCTAATCATCTTGAAATATTAAAATATGACAAATAAAAACATTTGTCATGCTAATAAGTTAATATTTAAGAGTATTATCAGTAATAATAATGAAAAATGTGATTAATATTGATGATGATGATTTTCTCAAGTTATATACCACTAATTCCTGCTAAACATTATAGGACCATGATAGTTTTTCAGATTTTTTTCTATTATATTCTGTGAGGATTATTTGAAATTTCAATTTGACAGAACTCAAATACTACATTAAGGCCAGAAAAATAGCTTACAATTGGTTTATTTGTCACTGACACAGTTTTTATTGTCCCCTGAAAAATTCAGGTCTATATAACTTATGAATAAGGCTCCATCTGACTGACATCACTAAATAACAATTAAAAGGAGATATTGTGGTGTCAGTCATGATGCCTGGCATGACACTATTGGATTAGTCCTGTGTCAGTCACCAGTCACAGACAAAGTGGTCAATGTGTTAAATATTACTGGCCAGCTATATCACAAGGTGCATCAAAGATACAACTACAAGACATGTTCTAGAAACTTATGAGCTTTTCTTTTAGAAGAATTCTATAACTAATGTAAAAGCTAGTAAAAGGAGGCTCCACAAAAAGTATATAAACCTCTTATTAAAATTTTTACTTTCAGGATTACATTGACTACTTTTAATAGTGATTTGACTAAAAACTGTTTTCTACCTTACCACATATATTGCATAGTAATATTATGTTCATATTTTGGAATCATTTATTACTAAAGTGGTGGTGTTATTTTTCACAGTGAAAATAGTGATCAAGGGGGACCGTAATGTAGGAAAGACATGCCTGTTTCACAGACTGCAGGGAAAGAAATTTGTGGAAGAGTATATCCCAACAGATGAAATCCAAGTCACTTCAATCCAGTGGAACTACAAGGCAACTGATGACATTGTAAAAGTAGAGGTAATAAGAGATATTTCTATAAGGTAGAAAAATATGATATTGTAGAAGTAGAGGTGGTGAAGAATAGTTTTATAATGCAGAAAAGTTAGTAGGTTTGACAATCTTGGGCTGTGGGAGGGAGCTAAGAGACTTCAAGTCATATTATCGATTTGCATAAACTGGTTGAATGTTTTACTCTAATTTCCAATAAGAAATTCATTTCTTAATTGGTGAAGTATTACTTTGCATAGGTATCTATTTAGAAATACAGTGAATTAAATACTATCATTTGATTTTTGTTGATCATAATGGAGGATGGATATATTGTTAAAACAGCACTCATCTTTCAGGTTTGGGATGTGGTAGATAAAGGAAAGAAAAAGAAACATTTTGATGGACTGAAGCTGGAAAATTCTCAGTTAGAGGTTCCAGAGGAACATGCCTTAGATGCTGAATTTTTGGATGTCTATAAGGGCACTAATGGAGTTATTATGATGTTAGATCTCACAAAAACTTGGACATTTGATTATGTTCAAAGGGAACTTCCAAAGGTATATGATTAGGTTACAAATTGTGTTGAGCAACAGTTATTTCAAAATTGTATACTTTTCATCTTCAATTTTGCTTAAATTATTCCAGGTTCCAGAGCACATTCCAGTGATAATATTGTCAAACCATTGTGATATGGCACATCACAGAACAGTCACTGCAGACCATGTCAATTTCTACATAGAATCCTTAGCAAGGTAAGCATTTCAGTTATATAATCATTCGACGTATTTTGTTATTAGTTATGCTTGAATGCAAGCATAATTATTTCAGCTCAAGGTTACTTTAGATCCACCACATTTAGTGATTACTGCATCATGGTGACCATAGCAGCAAAGTAGCTGTTTGTGCTCCTAACATATAGCTAGTTATTTCAGGCAGTTGCTGAAAAAAATAATCCTTTGTATTTTTTTGCTAATGGTCTATTCATAAAGAACATCATAATTATTCCAGTTCAAGATCGGCACAGATCCGCCATACTGAGTCCTCGATGCGAAATGGATTTGGCCTAAAGCTGCTTCACAAGTTCTTCAATTTGCCGTTTTTGCAACTGCAACGTGAAACATTGCTGCGACAGCTAGAACGAAATGAGGCAGAGACCAAAGCTACCATTCAGGAGTTGGATGTCTATTGCGACTCTGACGAGGCGAATTATGGAAAGTTTTTGGAAACGCTAGTGAAGAAACGCAGAGAAGTGGCAGGTTTGTGTATAATGTAACAGTAAAAATTGGGAACCAATAGATTACACGCTAGATTTTATGGGCTTTTGAATCCAGTTTTTAACCATCACTGAGAGTCCTAGTAGGTTCAAATTTGGTTGAAACTGCCAATGTCATAACACTAAATACCCCACTGGATTCATGGTTTAAATACAAAATGAAATTTATACCCAGGATTGATTATAGTAATTTTTACCTGAGATGTAACATTTGAAGTTTTTCCTTGGTTTTCATGCTGATAATTCTCGATGTTTTCTGGCCGTTAACTGAAACCATATATGCAGGTCTGATGAGTTTTTACTAACGTTTCGGCCCTTTTTCAAACAGGAGATAAAGAGTGACTATGACAACATTTTTTATATTTATTTGTACTCTAGGTTCATTTTTTTACTGCTACTATTATAGTGTGCTGCAACAACGGCCTGAACGTTTCTACACCATGCCATTGAAGCAACGCTCTGTATAGAGCAGCAAAAAACATATGATCTGTTACCTGGAAGACTGATAAAGATGAAATATGTTGTCACTGTCACTTTTTTGATCTGTACTTACCGAGGTGGTTGCTGGGACATTAGTAAAACTCAAGCTTACATAATATGTGGATTCATTTCACAGCCCGAAAACATGGAGATTTGTTTACCTGACATCTCTTCAAAAAGAACCATCCCTTTTGCTAGCTTATATTATCATAGAGACGATTTGAGAGTGAAGACGTCGCCGTGTTAACATATCCCATTTGCTATTTTCAATATGTATTTTTAGTATTATTTGGTTGTTTTTTGAATTCTTAGGCTGACGTAAAACATTTTTACTTGACGTTTTGCCAACACGAGTGGTTGGCATCTTCAGAAGGAAGTTTTGAGTCCTGTGAGCTACTGTACTGTATTCAGTAGCTCACAGGACTCCAAACTGTGAACATCTTCTGAAGATGCCAACCACTCGTATTGACGAAACGTCAAGTAAAAATGTCTTGCGACGACCTAACAACCCAGAAACCAACCAAATAATATTGAATGATGGCCGCGAAAGCCTTGTGTATTTCATGTATTTTTAGGTTGATATGTCAGTGAAAATCATGCCAAAAAGAAAAACCCTTAGTTTTGAACTCCAATTAAACATATTTGTGGCAGAATGAATAACTGCAACAAATGTTTAACATCTTCCTCTATTGTGGGCATACAGCCCTTAGTCTCTGGGACCCTAGGGTAACTGTCGGATTTGGTCTGTTTTTCAAATTTTCAGGCATTTACTTTATGGGGTCTGCGCTGTAGTTTTGATGTTTACACTCTACCCCCTCTTATCGACGTTCTATGATATATTTTATTAATTCTCAGATTCAAATTCGAATGCCCATCGAATCGCTCAGACCCAAGTACAGGCGAGCCCTGCCGGCGAGGTAAGGCGATCGCAAAGTGGCCCAATAGTCATCGGTGCTGGTCAACCGATCCCTTACGGAAATACGGCTGTAAACAAGAAACCTACCGCGCTATCGCAGATCTCAAAGAGCTCTAGCGTTAGTTCGGGCTTCGTTTCGAAAGTTGGTGTGGACAATGGCGTTGGAAATGGTAAGGTTTTTGAAAAGATATTCCACTTCTCATAAGTTTACTCAGAAGTAACTCAATAGCCTAATCAAAGGTTGAAACCTGTATTTGCTGAGGATATTAGCAAGAGCTTTTGAAAGTTGGGACCTTCTTTTTTAGAGATAACTTCACTTGAAATAACGAAGTTAATGTGCAATAAAGCAGCAGCGAAATAGTAAAAAAGGAGAAAAGTACTCACTGTTCATTTGGTAGAAATTTCAAGTACCACACTGTCACATGTTGCTTATAAATACTGTTTGAAGCTATCACCTATTGATTCAAAAACAGAAGTTTCTTCAGTTCTCCCTCTACTGTGCCTATGTCAAAGTTAATGTAATCACCTTTGTTCGAGATAAAACCAAGCGGCGCGTGAAGACGCTAGCCGTAACCAAACCAAACATAGATTCGACAAGTTTCTTATTGCTTTAGGAATGTGTAATTTTTGTTTTTTCTTTTCAAATCTGATTCATAAACAGCTTGATGTTGGCTTCGAGGTTAATACTGACGCATCTCGCATCTTATCAAATAATCCTTACCTGAAAATGGACTCGGATTTGATATCGAAGGTTCTCTCGGAAGCCAGTAAGGATAACTTAAAATTTCGACGTATGCGTTATTCAGATTTGCTTTATTTACAAAACTGTATAAAGTTCCAACTCTGTATATTTATCTTTTTAAGGTATGCCAGACTTAAGGCGATTAGAAGTAAGTCCAATCACGTCAGTTGAGGAGTTCTGTCCTGATGGGGGCCACCTAGGAGGCTTCTTGGATGATGTGCAGTTCAATGCTCAAAATAGTATTAAGGAAGAGGATCAATCGGACTCGTAAGTGATTTTTCGTTTATGGGATAAAATTATTTCAAAGTATGACATCGACCGACTTTTTTGAAGTTTTCCTCAATTTAAATTTTGTGTTTAGAATGTCATTGTTCTTATCAAAAGTAATCTGACAATAACCACAACAAGCAACTGTCCATATCGTTTTCAGGTTCTCGATAAAGTTAATGATTTGCTAATAAGGCCGAACTATATATAGTCTATTTTGGTACTTAAAAGCTGTGACTGAAAGAAAAATATCATAATGTATTTCAGAAATTTGAATTCTATGTGTATTATACCTGGTGTCCGCAAAGTTGGGGTTTTCCTTTACACGACGTGTAGATCTTGAGAAAATAAGCGGATTTTCTTAGTAGCATATACACCAATGTCTTCAGAGAACCGAGATATTGGCTCCGCAAACTCGATCAAACCTGAACCAAACCGAAGCCGGTCCTGTCCTATCCCTCGATCACGTTCACAGCTCCAGCGCCAGTGTACAGTTTACGACGTACGACAACGATGTAAATACGGATTTTACGGCAGACCGTACTTGGAATTTCAATTCAACCGAACAGTGAGTATTTTTTTATTTATTTTTTTACTTGTTCGCTCACGTTTCATCACACATTAGCTTTGTTATATCAAGCGTAGTTGTGTCTGAAAAGGAAAACCCCAATTTTGTGGACATCCTGTATACTCAGTGAAATTAGAAGCGTTACATTCAGAAAAAATAATTTTTTCAACTTATGAGGTAGTCTTACATCAAAAATGAAACGATAACATTCTCACGAAATTTTGTTGACAATAAGAAAAAAATTAAAAATGTGTTGGGTGACCCCGCAACTGAATACACCCATGTACATACATCTAGGCATTGACAAAATGAGATGATCCATGCCTGGTTATGGCACCAGTATCCAAGCGACTGGATGTTTGTGGAATAGTTGTGGCAGAGTCTGTGGCGGATGGTACAAAGTGGATAGCCTCCTCCCTTTAAATCTGGTGAATAGGGTGGCCACAGCAAAACATTAACGCCTAGTTGTTGAAGGAAGTCCGTAGTACGACGAGCAATATGGGGGCGTGCGCTGCCTTGCTGAAAATGTACGTGTGGACGGCCCTCTAGATACGGCAGTAAAGTGGTGTGTAGGAAATCATCAAGATAACGCGCAGCAGTCATATTGCCTTGAACAAAGAGAATGGGCGATCGGCTACCATAGGCTTTTAGCCCCCAAACCCATTACTCCAACAGTCCTGTGTGCATGCCTCTCGACAGCAAATGCAATATCACGCCGTTTTTTACGGCGGCGTCTTACCCTTCGACGACTATCGTGCGTACCTAGTCAGAATCACGATTCTTCGCTGAAGATGACATTATGTCATTCTGCCTCCCAATGTTGCAGTTCTCTGCTCCAGTTTACACGTTGACGGCAGTAGTCCGCAGTCAGAGGAAGCACTAAGCGTGGACGGTATGAAAAATGTCCAAAGGCTCGAATGCGGCGATAGAGTGTACGCATAGTAACAGGTCTATCTTCTTCTCCAAACCATTGGTCAGGGATCTGACGCGTGGTAGCAAAACGGTCTCGTAGGGCTAGTTGTCTGAAGCGCCTATCTTGAGGCTCTGTGGTACGCCTCGGTGGATCAGTTGGCCTTCTTCGTGTTCCTCTACCTTTTTCTATTCACACACGACACACACGCACTGCCGTCATTGCAGTATAATTAATCCGGCGGCCAATTTCGCGATAGGACAAACCAACATCTCGATGGGTAATAATTCTACCCCTATCAAAGTCGCTAACATGATGATAATTTGGACGTCTTCGAACTCGAGGCATTTTGTTATGCTTAACACCTTTAAATGAAAGGCCATTAAGTAAAAATATCTATACTACTCAGCTCTCAGAAACTGCTTTCTTCACAAAAACTAAGAGATAACATTTTAACAAACGTAAACAAAAACAACGATAAAACGTTGACATTGTTGCCACAGCTTGCTTTAAATATAGTCATTACCAAAAAAAAAAACAAGTTGAAGAAATTATTTTTTCTGGGTGTAACACTTCTAATGTCGTTGAGTATATATAGGTACGTATTTGTAACTATAAGGTAATAAAAAGTAGATGGTCATTTCGGAACTGTCTAGGTGGAAAAATACTGGCGCTTCCGAATTTATAACAAAAGAGTCTTAAATACCTCAGCCGCCTCAAAATTTCTGAATTTCAAAAAGAGATAACAGAAATTTTTGAAACCGTGAAAATTAATTCAACAGAAAAATAATTTTATCAATAATTTTAATATATTTTTTAATATTGAAATAAATCGGAATTACGCCTTTAAGTTCATAATCCTTATTTTTATGTAAGCTTCAATATTGTTGTCCACCATGGATACCAGCATTTCAGCAATGCCAATTGAAACCGTTCTGCTTGAACGCGGCTGTGATAATTGCCGCTCGGTTTTAATGTAAATCTAATCTTAAAATCGACGAGTCGTAGTGCTGTATTATGTTATTAACAATAAATTTGCTAAAATTAACAATACACTGCACCACGGTTCCGCTCTACATAAACTGCGGCGTACATTTTGGACATGAAATAAGTTGATGAGTTTTATGGTTTCTTACATGCTTACATACTTACAAGCTTTACGAGAACCAAATTATAAATTATAAGTTAAGAGCATTCAGTTTTAATATAGTCTTCTAACTGAATTTTTAAGAACGCAGTTTTAAAGAAAGCTAACGAAATAGGTTTAAGGCATATTATTTAGGGACACAATAGGTGTAATATTAACTAGATTTAATGATGGTTTTTATTACTTATATTATGAGAATCTTAAAAATGGATTAAAAACTCACAAACTAGAAGATAATAAAACCAAACAGCCCACAAGTTATTGATAAAAATGACTAGTTTTAAAGTTAATTGAGACTAAACCATTTTAAAACTACAATAACAAAAAATAATTAAAGATTAATTAATACTATTTGATGATCTTATTTGAATCTTTGAAGCCAATTTTGAATGCTGAAGAATATTTTGAAACCATTACTTTTTATTTACAACTAATCCGTTTTAAATCTCAAACCTGAAATGTTTTTCTGGTGCTACTTGGGTGAGAACGGACCCTCACTGTTAAGCGATTCAGTTGGTCATAATGTTGAACGTTTCATCAAACAGCGACACAGATACCGGTAACCCGCTAGTCTCGGAGCTCCAGGAAGACTTTGAACCCGAAGACGTTTCGTTATCCAAACCTGTTCGACACGCCAAGAAACCTGAGACATTCCCCATACCTCTGAGAGTGATAAAATCAGACGAAAGCAGCGAAATAGACGTGGAGAAGGTACTGCCTATGGAAGAGTATGACGTAAAGCATCAGACCAATGACGAGTTCGATTCGACTATTAATTCTGAGATTTCTGAGCTGACTTCTGATGCTTATGACGGGGGATGGATCGGAGCGGATACCAAGTGGAGGAGATCTCCAGAAGGTAATGGATGTTCCAATAGCTACTCTGAAATTTTGTTATTGATAAAAATAGAAATTTGCGTAAAATATCTTGTTTTTATTACGAGCATGCAGGAGAATAGGGGAGGTATGGCTTATAATATCCTCCAAATTGTTGCCTTCAGCTGCGTTCACCTAAGACCACCTTTCGAGTAACCTTTTAGCACAATTGAGGCGTTCAAATTTTCCGGAAATATGTGATATGTTTTGATTTGATCATCTGCAGATTCGTTCAATAGATGATATCAAGTTGGGTTGGATTACATAATTTCGCACGATGGTGAAAATCACCTTTGCGATTATTAGGAAAACGGGGGAGTTAAAAACCCGCCGCTTGTTGGTTGAAGAGCGGAAGGAGGGTGGGGCGGTGGCGACTGCTTGATTAGTGCTTCTGGGAGCAAATGCCCTTGTGGCAAAGATTTTGTATATTTTGTTAACTTGTTGAAAAAACAAACCTAATGCCATCCCAATATCGACCCATTCTTATTGGAAGGTCCTTTGATTTTGACCATAATGTGGTTTCTGTTAAGGCGGAGAAGATACTTCAGTAGTGAGTCAAACGCTAGACTACAGCCCCGGCCTTGGAACAGTGTATGATGACAGCACCAGTGTCACCTCGTCCAATATAAACGCAGAATTGCTATCGACAAAACCGAGCCCAGTTTCAAATAGACAAAGCTTCAACAGTGATAGTGAGGGCACTACACATTCCAGTTCAGTGAAGAAAGAGAAGAAAAAGAAAGACAAGGAGAAGGTAAAATTAGATATTATCAAGTTAAAGATTTAGATTACTGGTAGATGATGGAAGTCAAAAAAAAGAGCAGTACCAATTACGATAATATTGGAGATGAACTCTTGGAAACGAGAGAGTAATACAAAGTGAGCGCGGTTATGTTAGTTTTCGAGTAACTGTATTCTTTAAGGTTTCCTTGATAGTCTCGCCGTTGCTTCATGTACCAGACTCATCTTTCAAAAGCTGCCAAAAAAGCCTACGAACGTAATTGACGTCCATCTTCTATTGGTTCTACTTCCTCATTTTCAAAAGTTTCCCTCCAAATTTTATCTTTCTATTTACTCTATTCTGTACATTAATATTTTAATTTATATAGGACGAGGAAAAGAAGAAAAGCAAGAAAAAGTCCAAAGACAAACACAAGGATTCCTCGAAATCTGACCGAAAACACAAGAGGCGATCCAGAGACGAGACTTCTACCCACAGGGACGAATTAGAAGAATTCTTGAACGGTCCTGCGATTTCTCCCGTAGATGCTGCATATGAGGCCATCTAGCATATGCCCGTTATCATCAAATATAAATACGTGCTCAATATGTAGACACATGCGCGGAGTATTGTATGATAAAATTATCTTGGTCTGTGAAGGGCAAAAATATAGCATTAATTAAAATCTTCCATCAGAAGATACCCAGTCTACCCAACCACTAATGCTTACGACTATACAGGGTGTTCCATAATTATTGCGACAAAATGATAGGGGTTGTAGAGGGCATAAAAATATGCAATTTTGCCTTATAAACCCCTGTTCGTAAATATGCCGTTTGAGCACTACAGTTAATTTTACCTTAAGAGCTCATAGGAGAAACAAAAAATTCACCAGCTGCAAAATGTTCGTCTAGCACATTTCATGGTCTCGCCGGTTTGTAGAAAAAGCCTGCTGTGTTTACATTTTTGTTATCGTACACCCGTACCACCTTTTAAAAGTCCAAGTCATGGGTCCAGCAGACTATCTGCCGCGTCGACGTTTTTGTCGTTGGTGGCTGCAGCAGGAGTTGAGGCAACCAAACTTTGGTCGCTACGTTTTGTTCACTGACGAGTCCTGTTTTGCAAAGGACGGTTATTTTAATAGCCGTAACAGTCACATTTGGGATGAAGAAAACCCTCATGCCATAGCCATCCATAGAGACCAACATCAGTTTTCAATTAAGATCTGGTGCGGTATTGTGGACGAGCATATCATCGGGCCATATTTGTTTCCACCACATGCTTATGGTCGATTCTTACAGCATGTGCTACCGAAACTATTAGAAAATGTGCCACTGAACATAAGAGCCAACACGTGGTTTCAACACGATGGAGCTCCAGCCCACTTTTCTTTACAAGTGCGGCAGTATTTGGACGACAAATAGGTGGATAGGCCGAGGTGGCCCTGTGCCTTGGCCTGCGCGGTCACCCGACCTGACCCCACTGGATTATTTTCTCTGGGGCCATCTGAAAGCTTTAGTGTACGAAACTACTGTTCCCAACCAACAAGAGCTACTGGGAAGAGTGATGGCCGCGTCCGCACCTGTTCAGGACATACCAGGGGTATGCCACAGAGTTCGCCGATCATTGAACAATCGTGCACAGCTGTGTATTGAGCAAGGTGGAGGACACTTTGAGCAATTACTGTAGGTAAGCTGTTTCAAGAAACTGATCTTTTTTTTTGCTGCATCCCAAACGGCATATTTCCGAACAGGGGTTTATAAGGCAAAATTGTTCATTTTGATGCCCTCTACAACCCCTATCATTTTGTCGCAATAATTATGGAACACCCTGTATATGTATCGACCACCACCTTTAGGAGTCATCATTGCCACCCGTTTGGATTGTTCTGCAGATTATGGGTAACCTTTCCTGCTGCTAATCAACTCATATTCAAGAATAAATCATTTTTTTTTTGAGGAAAAATGGAATCTATTTCTATCACTCTTAAAGTAATTCCTATTCTACTTGGCAACAACATGGCTGTGACGATGGAAATCGTATGTGATGAACGCCCAAATACAGCATAGGATTGGGCATCGTTCTCTCTCTCTCTCTCATATATTCACTGCTTATTTCACTGCTCAAGATGGATTTGTCAGACAATATCTAAAAATACAGAATAATCTCAGAGGTGACAGTTTGTCGAGTTCTTCTCTCTAGGTTATAACTCTAACTATTCATCTGTTCTTCATTCTATGTTGTTGTGTCCTAATTCTGAATATAGCACTGATTTCTTACAAGGCAACTGCATGCAATCACTTGCAGCTGCAAGACGGCGCTGTAAAATGTCTAACTGGACGTGTGGCAGCTGATTGTTTTCGATTAAAGCTCACAAGGTAAGTCATCCTAAACGAATGGAATACCCTTGTATAATAATAATATACCCATAATAATATACCCATTTCACATCAACAATTTCTCCACGAGTTTATTTAGATGGAATTCTGCAAGGTCATCCTGGTTATGTTTTGCAATGAACAAATCCATGGACCCTATTTCATGAGTATCCATCACGGTAGAATGGCAGCTGATTATCTAGTATGTAATATCTCAAAATTCCCCATATCGGCACAGGCCACATAATTCTGACGGATCCGTCAACGCCAGGTAGTCGGAGCCGTATTTTGTTTTGGTTTTGTACTTGCAGTTCTTTTATTTAGAAAAGTTCATTTGCATACAAAAAACAAAACGCCACAAACAAGTTTTACTAGATTTATACCTGATTCATTATTGGCAACGTTGCAGAGTAACAGAAAAGCGTCACTTGCTGAATACCTCACCAGACGTCAAAGCGTGATGGATACTCGTGAAATATAGTCTATCTGTCAACAAAGCTAACCTCACAATAAATTATTGCTAGAAACATTTTCAGATTTTTATATTTATTGTGTTTTTGATCATGAGGCAAATCTCACTAAGAGTTCTATCAAAGTTCTATACTTGAATTGAAAAGATGCTTAACCCTAGATTACGGGACTTGTTTCAAAATACTTTAATACGGGACTATCGTAAAATATACGAAGATAATATAAAACTTGCATTGTACAATAAAATTCTTATGAAAAAACTCATGAAAAATAAAAGATATATTTCTAAGGACTTTACAATAAAATGCAAGAACAAAATATCAATAAAAAGTCAATATATATTATTTGATACTACATTCCTTGCATACATTTCCTCGATGCTCACCACAGATCGGATGTCCACACTGTCCACAATACGTCGTTGTCATCCGTCTCTTTTGAGAAGGGCAAAAAAGCACGTTTTACGCTTTTTTTCTAGAGGGATTTCAGGTGTTGTATCTTTTCGAATATTGAGAAGAAGGGCAATATCTTGACTTATATTTCGACGCAACGTAGGAGTCGATAATCTATGCCTCATCCATGGCTCAGCAAGGCGACGACTTAAATCTATCATGTACTGGTAACGTGAAGGGGGTTTCTCTCCTCTTGATAAAGCATTAAAAGTATAAATCACAAAGGAGTTGATGCTGGCTATATTCACCATACCATATAGCGCACACAGGGGCCATCTTCTAGTTTTCCTGCTGCAGCTCATGTTGGAACACATTTGGTCGAATGTGTCGACACCCCCTTTAGTTTCATTGCAGTTCTGAACAATTGCTGGTTTTCCTGTTTGTTTTGAAATTTCAGCACCCTCATGCATTGTAGACAATAGCAGTACTAATTTCTGCTTCCTAGGCACATACGAAAGTAATACTTTTTCTTGATCAAAACAGAACATTGATTTATTTACGTTTCGCTGCCTTATGTCAAGCAGTTCGGGAGGAATTTCCCTTTTATTTTTTCTTAGTGTTCCAATTATTGTCAGTTTGTAAGGATCTTGGAGTAGTTCATCTGCCAAACTGACGGACGTGAACCAATTGTCCATGGTAATATTCCTGTTACTTCCATGGACAGATTTTGTAAGCTCCTTTACAAAGTAGGTAGCAAGCGGCAAACCATTCGTTCTGGTACTTTTTCCTATATATGGACTAGCATCAACCATATAGCATGTTGAGTTGTCACATAGCATGACAATTTTTATACCATACTTTGAAGGTTTATTCGGTATGTACATGCGGAATGGACATCGTCCACGAAATCCCAAAAGCTGTTCGTCTATAGTGAGGTAAGAAGATGGTGTATATGATGATCTGCAAGTTTCAATGAAAATATCCCATAACTCACGGATATGGGTGAAAGGATCATTAATTTTTCTTTCCTGTCTTGTTTCTCTTGAATCAAATCTGAGACAGTTCAGTAAGAACATAAATCTGTCACAGTTCATGCAGGCTCTATAGAAGGAACCAGAAATCGTCGTATCAAACATATGTCTGGCAGATAGATGGTTGTCTTTCTTGGCAGCCGAGAGTATCAAAATTGCAAACAGCGCCTGTAGTTCTTCTTTAGTGGTAGGTGACACATTGTTGTTACCCGTGTAATTTTGCCTTTGTCGTACAATTTCTTCATTAGTGTGTAGGTATATTATATCAAGAATAGGATCAGAGAAGAAATGTAAAAAATATTCTTCCAGTGTTACATACTCCTTCGCTTCACCTTTCGGGCCTGCCACAAAATGGATGAGGTTTCTTGAAGCAGTTCTTTTAGTTCTGCTGGGCTGTGTTGATGTCCATCTCTGACCATTCTTTCCTTTCAAACTCAAAATATTGGGTTTAACTAGAAAGTGATTTGTTTTACAAGGTTCAAGTTGAGGTTGATGTACGGGATCGTCGGAGTTCACATGGCCGTCATCATTCTTTTTCTCTGCCGAAGTAGTCGTTTCTTGTTCATTTATAGGAACATTCTCGTCCAATCATCTGATCCCTTCATCGATTCTACTTCAATATTATCTTCTTCCCAATCACTGCCACTATCCTCAAATGGATCTGGATCACTGTCTCCTCCCTCCATAATTTTTCTCACTTCTTCTTCCAATTCTGCCTGAGATAAGGACCGTTTTGAAGTCATTTCGCTGGAAAGACATGTACTCAGAACGCTATAAGTATGAGAAATAGAAAACACCTTACCTCACAAATAAATGTCAGCAAAACCGCTTTTCAAAGAATAGAATAAAAATCAGCTTGCGCGAAAATAGCAAACAGTGACACGGGACTATCGTAAAATTTACGACGGAAGTGCAAAATCTCCGTTACGCTTGACAAATACACGATGTTACGTACACCGAAGTCTAGCCGAAAACTAAATAGGAAGGTATCGAGAGTCTCATTCCGATACGCTAACCGAAAATGAACGAAAACCCACGACGAATATTGTCGATCGTAAATTTTACGAATGTCCCGTACTCTAGGGTTAATATAGCGGAAATGAAAACAAGTTTGGCAATATAGAGCTTGACGTTCAACTTAGCAAACATTAGAACAGAGTCAATTGCCTGAAAAAAATCCACGAAAATGTTCAATTCATTTGACGGGTATTATACAAACCACCGAACTGTCCTAAAGATATTTGTATGAATTGGTAACATGTAAGTTACTAAATATTCCGCCACCTGCACGTGATGGGGATGGCTGAGGATCCCTTGTGTGAACGCTGCGGGGTAGAGGAAGAGACCTCGGCGCAGGTTTTGTGTCGCTGTGAAGCTCTGAGCTACTATAGGCAGACTATACTGGGGTCCATTACTTTGGACCCTCAGGACGTCAAGGAGCTTGGATTCAAGGCGATTCTCAACTTCGCTAAAAGGACGAGGCTTGTAATCTAAGGAATGTAGAGGTGCATAAGGGCTCGCTTAAGCGGCCTATGCACTGGCTCCTTATGGTGGCCGGAATGCCTCTAATTTCAAGATTCATTCATACTAAATATTCCACCAGAATTGCAATTTTGAACGAAAAGCTCAACATTATTGATTTTCCTGCATTATCTGGTAGTTGCAAGAAAATGTCATAAGCGGCTGTTTTAACAATGCGCAACCATCTATTCAAAAATTTTCTTGCACTGTAAAATGGGTATGGTCAGTGACTAACTTATTCTACCTGAAGATAGCCAACCTACTAAAACATGATGTCCCATGTTAATCGAAATATTTCTAAAACCACGCATTCGATGAAAAAGTTTCAAACAAAAGTTGTATCGTTTCGAGGGGGGAAAATGATGGTGTTTTTGACAGTGACCTTGACTACGAGTCCGTTCAAGGTCAAGTAAATATTTTCAAATGGAACCTCGTCCTTTTCACAATTGAATTAAAAATAGGAGCAAATTTTACCTCCGTGCATCACATCTCGATGACCTTGGCCTTCAAGGTCAAAACAAGACATCGAAAACAATTTCTATTAGCAAAAATATTTGACAGCACAGTTGTGAGGCTTGTGATGATCACCCAAAGGTGATCTTTGCAAAAACTGTCAATCAAGATCAAGTCTACATTTCCAAAGGAAACCTCTCATTTTCATACTGGACATGAAAAAACTAGGAACTTTTGTCTGAAGGTGACCTTGACCTCGAATAACATTAAAGCTTGATACGACCCTGAGTTTGAGTTCAGTTGCTTGCTTTTTCCGTTTCAGCCTAAAAATGAGAGGTTTCTTTGGAACTTTCGACTTGACCTTTTAGGTCATGTTCAAGGTCATGGTCGAGGCGACATTTGGGTGATTCTCACAAACTCCACAACTGTGCTGTCGAACATTTTTGCTAGAGCAAATTGTTTGAGATATTTTGATTTGACTTTGAAATGCCCTTGAAGGCTATTGTCAAGGTCATGATCAAGATGATTTTCGGATGTAAAATTTGCTCCTCTTTTCAATTCCGATGTGACAAATGGATTGTTCTACTTAAAAGTATTCACTTACATTGAAATGAGCTTGAAGGTCGTAGTCAAGTTAATTGCCAAGGTTACCAGCATTTTGCCCCTACAAGTTTTCTTAGAAACTTTTTTTATGAAATGCACAGTTTTCTAAATATGTAGATAGGGAGATTGAAATGGGCCACCGTGTATATACGGGCGTCCGAAAAATTATCAAAGATGAAATGAGGTACATTTGCGACAGCTATGTTTTTCCTCCTTGTAATAATTAGAAGTTTACTTTGAAAAGGTTAGTGTCTCGTAGCCAACTATGTATGAGCATATAGCTACAGCGCCATCTATGAGACAGCAACGTTTTCAAAGTAGATTCTTAATTATTGCGGAGAGGGGAAAGATAGCTGTGACACGCTACCTCATTTTATCTCGGATTATTTCTTCAGGTACAATACGTGAATCAATGGTATAATGAAACTGTACAAGAGTGGATCTTGATCTGTCATTTTTGCGGTTGTAATGATTGTGTTATTCTGTAATACTGCTGATATGCTATCATTTTAATTTCTTCAGTGTTTGAATATATGAAAATAATCTCTAATATTGCTTCACGTTTAAGAATCTCATATATGCAATAATGTATTCAAAACGAAGTAGTAACTATTTTCTTATAACGGGCGTAGGCACTTCGGAATTTTATTTTTAAGTAAAACCAATAATTTCGGATAAATATCATGCTTGTTCATATTATCAGAATATAAAAGTATCTAAATGAATCCAAATTTTTGGTATCACTCGTTGTTCATCACCTAATTTTCAAGAAAAATGAGGAAGAACTTAGTAGTAGGTCTATAATCAAATTCCTTCTATTGAATGCCTAATCGTTGAAAAATGGCGCCAGATTTGAATTCCGAAGGATCTATTGTTACGCCCTGTTAAACAAATGTTTATTTATATTCAAGTGTTGACGTGTACAGAGAAATAAGTAGTTCTTGTTTATTGACCTTCTCACTCTATAGTTCAAATATCCAGCGATCCTGTATTTTCAATGCGTTTCGTATATGCCCTAAAAATGTTGTGTCTTTATAATGTTAGATGAATGTGTATAAATGTATGATGTTGCTTTATAATTTATATTTATGTTGCTATTTTTTTATGAAGTATATATGCTGTTAATTCATGTAATAAAGACGTATAAAACTGTATGTTGTTTCATTTTAGCTGATTTGTCACAATAGCCGAATTTACAACATTTAACCTGTGTTAAATGCAATATGGCAACCACGGGAATTGTCCTTATTTACTTTTAGGCGTCGGCCCATTTCTCGGTGATAAAATAGTATATATCATCGATTTGTTTTAGATTCTACCAAGGAGTTGTTCTGAATGTTTGATTTTAGCTGGAAGGTAAATTTTTATATGTAAAAACGTTTACCTTGGTACGGACTCACACCCTAGATACTTAAATAACCTTGTCACCTTGTAATCCTGTCGGTAATTCAACTTCTGGACTGTCAAACTTTGTTCCCTTTGATTGATAAACAAAAAAAAAATGATGATATGGTTTTTGAGACGCTAGAAAATCCACAACCACTGATAATCCTGAACTTGAACTCTGCAGTGTAAAGCCACTACTAAACATAATATCTTACCAGTACCGAGCCTAGCCTAGCAATTTCTAGTAGCTTGGTATCTACAAAATTATGTCAAAGAATATAAATTAACATTTTGACCTCAGGAAAGGATGTGCATGAGAAATGCGCAGCTTGAGTGCACACGACACTGGACATAGCAATGATCGAGATAAAATAATAATATAATAATCACGTGCTCAACATTTTTTCGCCTTGTAGAATTATTAGTCGGTTTTTGTTAATTGTTAAAGTTGTTGAATACTTTATAAACCATCATAGTTATTCCGTTTGTGCTGGTGTGTGGTAATATGTGGTTTGCTGTGATCTTATCAAGAAAATCTTGCGGTATACACAATTGGAATTAAACATAGACGTATAAAAATAGAATTTTATATTGTTCCAAATATCAGGCGCTGCATTGCCTATTATAGCTATCGGGTTGGGAAATCAATGAAAAAATAGTGTGAAGACTGACTCATCAATTTCCACGAAGTGACACGAATCTCTTTATCACTATAGGACAAACACATTCCAAGCGTTATTAGCGCGGTTTCAAAATTATTTGAGTCCCAAAATATTGTTTATTTTGCCGTTACGTTATCAAAAAGTTGCAAAACTTCAAAAAACGAGGGTTCGGATGTTTAAAAATCTTCACTTATCATGCTTTTTCTATGCCCAGAAATCATCAGAACCTCAAAAAACATTGAGAAACGAAGCTTGGAAATATGCTCAAATCGCTATCTGACTCATAGCTCCGCCGCCATCATACTGATTTTGAAAACCTACAAAACTTTTCCATTTTTCCATCCTTCACTTGGTAGTAATCTTATATCAAAATTGCATCAAAATCTGAGCAGTACTCTTCAAGATAGCAAGGTAAAGAATCGCTGGTCGTAACATGTCTCATGTAACATATACTAAGTGACATATAAATCCGAACACCCAGTTTAAAGGGTTTTATTTTAATAAAATTTTGTATAAGTACTTAATGAAGCATAATAAGTAAATGATAAAAATTTCAAAATGATTGCACTGCTTTAAAGCCCTTTGACCTTTAATAATGTGTGGATGCACCCTGATGTGCTACGCATTCTCCAACGCGCCTAGGCATGCTTCTGATCAGGTTGTCAATGTCCTCCTGTGGTATCTCATTCCAGGCAACCACCAACTCCTGTCGAAGTGCTTCTAGAGTCTGAGGACGACGTTGCAAATTGAGCAATCTCCTACCCATCATATCCCACACGTGCTCAATTGGGGATAAGTCGGGAGATCTTGGTGGCCATGGTAACAATGTGACATCATTATGTTGAAAGAAGTCTATTGTGACTCTTGCAACATGTGGTCGGGCATTATCTTGTTGGAAAGTTGGATCTGCCAGGGTGTCAAGATAGGGTAAAAGATGGGGTTCTAGAACTTCGTGGATATAACACTGCGCGTTCATTTTACCTCTGATGAAGATTAAAGGTGACCTGGAACCATAAGCTATAGCACCCCAAACCATAACTCCAACAGTGTGATGAACATGTCTTGTGTGGATTCCTCCTTTCCCCACGTTGCCTTCTAACCCTGGCACGACCATCGTGCATGCCTAAACAAAATCGAGACTCGTCACTAAAGACAATACTGTTTCATTCCTGATCCCAGAGTGACCGTTGTCTGCACCATTCAAGGCGAATACGTCGGTGTTCTCGAGTTAAAGGGAGGACCCAGTGTGGTCGGTATGAAAACAAGCCAAAACTTCTCATTCGTCGGTAAACACTTCGCATGCCAATAGGTCTTCCGTGTTCTGCAAACCATTCATTTGCAATGGACCTGGTAGTGGAGAAACGGTCCCTTAAGGCCAATAATCTTAGGCGGCGATCTTCACGGTCTGTTGTTCTACGGCGGCGTCCAGTGCCCCTTGCTCTTTGCGTACGGCCTTCTCGAAGCCATGCCTGACAACACCTAACCACAGTGTCTACACTTCTTTGCACTCTAACTGCAATTGCCCGAAAAGAAAGTCCAGCTTTCCGAAGTCCCACTATACGGCCCCTATCAAACTCACTAAGTTGACGAAATCGTACAGGTCTCCGTACTCTAGGCATCGTAACAGATCGTAAAGGATGTCAAGAACCAAAATCCGCCAACGTTGATTCTTTACTGCGGCTGAAATATTCATTTTTAGAGCGTTAGTGAATTAAAAAAAAGCAGTATAAAAACCGGAATGTCCAACTGATAAGGCTGCTGAACATTTTTTCACTTGTTATTTACAGTAAGATAAATAATACATTCACCAACTTTTATTAAAATAAAACCATTAAAACTGGGTGTTCGGATTTATATGTCACTTAGTATAATTGCGATAGTTACTCTCCAATTGGCGTGGAAAGTTAAAACAAATTCCTCGGATCATTCTTTGCCCCTTAGCATTGGGAAAGGAAAACATTCGAATGTAGACATAGACCGTACAGGGTCGGTCTGGCCAGGCTTTAGAGGCAAAGTAACAGTTGACCCGCGGCCCTTCGCCTCAAAGGGGACCCAGCATGGGGTTCAAGGGTTCGAAAAATCGATTTAAAGACTAACTTTGAAATAATATCGATTTTCAGGACAATTTCCGCTACGCTGTCGTGGAAGTCGATTCCAATTAAGTACACTGAGAACCAAATTTGTCTGACAGCTTGGGTTCAATGTGTATGAGAGAGAAGTGCGAGAAGTGTGTAGCAACACGTGTTAGAAAGGGAAAGGTCACCACCAAATTGCCTAGCGACTATGACGAAGAAGGTCGTGCAATCGGCTGCGTTACCAATATGTGACATCAGAAAATGTTCCTACATCAGACTGCTACAATAGGTTAGGTTACTGTTAAACCTAAGAAGGAGTTCTGTTCGAACATTTAATTTAATATATTGTTTTAATTTTGATTAGAATTATATTAATTTTGATTTAGTTTTTAATCCATTTTAGAATTATTTTTGATTTCCACGGATGGTGATGAAATCGACGCACCCTGAGTTATTGTTACAATTGCCAGTTTGCCGCATCAGCGCTGCTAGGCAACGCGGTTATGAGCTTCGCTATCCAGCCGCCTTCTATAAAATATCTCTTTCTCTACACATTTCTTTCTCGTACACATTGAACTCTGGCCGTCAGACAAATTTGGTTTTCGGCGTACGCATCATAATCTTTGACGCAAAATCTTTTTGCAAAATTTGTTTAAAAAAATCATATGAACAAAATTGCACCATGTTACCGTCCGGCAATCTATTGTTACATATTAAAGGGCATCCAACAAACGTGATTACGGAAAAAATCGAGTCGGAAAATTTCTCATATGGATGCGAGGTTTTCATTGTGATGGCACGGCTGTGAACAAAGCAATGCAGTACAACTATAGGAACACATTACGCTTACCATTCATTTTAAATATAAATAATTTTTGATTTTTAGCCAAATATCTAACGCAATATAATTTTTTAATCAGTAGCTAGTACGCACTTACTTCGTACTTATAATGAATGCTTTTAATAAAGTGTTTTGATTAGTAAATGGCTTTGATTAGATACCATTAGGCAGTGCAACTATTTTTATTTTCAATAAATCATATCATATACGTTACTACCTTTTTTTAATAAGCGGCCAACATGATAACAGGCAGGTGAGATATATTTTTGATACTTTACTTAAGTATATACAGGGATTTGAGGAAATTAAATTTTTCCAGGACATTAAAGTTCGTAAATATTCAATGCCGAGTGAATAAAACTTAGAGCGAGCATTAAAGTATCTCAAAATTAAATTTACATAAATGATGAAACTTCAAAATTATTCGTATAAGCAACAATGTCCAGATGTTTACACATCCGTTTTTATATTCTCTGACTCTCTACTATGCTGCTTATGACATTGCTTTTCATATTGGAATTTTTTTGACATACTCTACTTTCTAAGCGGTCTAAATTGGTAGATACAACTAATGTATGTATATTTTGCAGATACTAACGTGCAAGATAGACAAATGACATGTATTATTCTACATAATTTTTTGGTTTTCTACATTTAACATGAGATATTAAATGAGCAATTATTCGCAAGGGTTGCCAAATACTCCAATATTTATTATTACTATAATCATTATTTTGAAGATACTCATTATTTTGCAGATTACTGATCCTTGTCCTATTGGTGAATTTTACAAGATGTGATATATACAAATCATGCTCGGAAGTTACATTCTGTTCGTAAGTAATCGATAGACGTACCTACAAATAACATAAAAACCCCATAAAGATATGACCCCAAATGCTCCATTGTCAAAAGTTAGATGTGAAAATGAGTCAATTTCCTCACCATTGATTATTTATCTATACCCATGAATATTACGTCATCTTGAAGATAATTCTTGTGAAACTAAAATAATTGCCATAGGCTTTCAAGAAGTCAGTAGCTTAACATTACCAGAAAAGATTTATTTTGTCATAAATGCAATTGATGCACAACCGCATCTCCGCAGGTGCATTTTGGGATCTGCCGTATTTTTGGAATATTTGGCTTTACATTCCAACGCATTCCCTGCACTAATAAAACTGCCACTGTCTTCTAAACCACTATGTACAAGTTCTCTTCCGATTGCAGAAAATTTCGGAACTACCCAGCAACAAGATCCGAATACTTTACAGCTGAAATAGGTGAGGTTAATGAGGACAAAATGACCAATATATTGACCCTTCCATTGAGCAACGAGAAGGACGTAAAGTTAGAGCTACAAGTTTCTTTTTTGAGCAACTTCACAGCCAGGTTGAGAATAACTGAAGTCAACAGAAAACGATATGAGTTGAAAGAAGTCTTAGATCATGAACCACATGCTGTCAAGTAGGTCGTTTTCATGATAACAAGAACAAGGAAGTATCATATAGGCAAGAAAATAGTATATATGTCGTAGCCAGATTATAAAACCTGTCGTTTCATAAAACGCCTAGTCGTTTCTTAAACGGCGGCCAGATTGTCAAATTTTTATTCAACGATTCATTACTTTGCTATCTGGCTAGCCAGTTTATAAAACGACTAGACGTTTTATAAAACGACCGTGACTACTTTGCCAGAATGTCAAACGGTAATGTTTTCAACGTTTGACATTCTTGCGGGTGAAGTACTTTAATCGATTTGTAAAATACGAATTGTATTTAAAATATATTGATATCAACATACATATTTGGTAGCATTAATTAAGCAGGTATCAAAATTGTCCTCGTAGCTATAAGACAGTTAAAGGAATGTTTTAATATCCTTTATTTTATGAATAAAACAAATGAATGAAGATTTATTATTTATTAACAAAAAATACTAAAAATACAAAACTACACAAACATTTAACATTCTTATATATGTAAATTTACATAAGTTTACTTAAATAAAAAAACAAGTTTTATAAGCAAAATGTTCATTTATTGGAACATGGACCACTGGTTAGGTCTCATTACTTACCTTTATAAAACTCTTCTAACTGGGAATAAAAGTAGTTTTTATCTACTCCCGCCGCTGCTACTTTAACAGGGTCCATATTTTTGACCATTTAAACCTTAACAAACCAGGCAAAACTGAAATTATGCAATAAAAATATGCGAATCAGCAGACAGTGCAGACACTTAAACACCGCTGTACGCGCCAGAATAATAAATGGGTCAAATTTGGGAATCTGGCTAATGCTGGCCGCCGTTCTTTAAAAGACTAAAATACATCACCCGCCACAATGTCAAGCGATGAATATCTTTCTAGCGTTTGATAATCTGGCCAAGTAGTTAACGAGAAAGCAAAATAATGAATCGATAATTAATATTTGACAATCTGGCCGCCGTTTATGAAACGACTAGGCGTTTTATAAAACGACATGTTTTATAATCTGGCTACGACATATATATATATATATATATAACATTGCATTTTGTACATCATCTGGAATTTATGCATCAGAATCGTATAATTTTTCTCTAGTTTGGGGGAATTTTACAAGATATCGACTATCTTCACCAGATGCCCTAGGTACTACGATGGATTCCCGCAGGTAAAATCAGGCTAGTTGTTCACCTAATTACGTCTCCCTAAAACTTTCTACATTACAGCTTTGGCACAAGCATTTTAAGTTTGAACTAAATGCACCGAATCTACACTTTTTTCAATGTTTTAAGGCAGCAGCGGTGGCCGCAGTAGTAGACTCTTCGGTCTCCTGATCAGTCGCCGTGCGCTGTGCGGGTTCGAGTCCCGTCCCAGGAAAAATTTTTCTCTTGGCTATAGATGTTGTGATTGTCCGTAGGTGGTAGATGGTCTCTGACTGTCGAACGCGGAGGTACCACCCGGCGGTTCTCGTAGGCGGAGCCAGAATGTTGCATGCACACGTGAGTCCGTGTGGCGTCCCCCCTTTCCCATGTATCAACCTATAGCCCCACGGTACCCAAGGGGTGCTTAGGCCTTATGCCTTCGTGGTAGTTGGAGTATAAAAAAAATGTGTAAGAGCAGTTACGAAAGTATCAGCCAAATGCCAAAAAGTTGGAAATATCATTTCAAGATATCACCTGATTACAGTGCGATATCAAGATATATGAAATCAACAATCTTGAATTGAGAGTGTGTTTCACAGCAAGGCCAAAGCTGCTATTTTTTTCAGTTTCCAGTGTTAACAGAATACTTCGTAATTATTTGAATTCATCACGTACCTACGCGCTGATATAAATATCTATATTTCATACCACAGTTCTTCAATGTGAAATATAAAAAGTTTAAAAGAAGTTTAAAAAAATACTCATTTGGAAATAGAAAAAATAAAGATAATTTAAGAAATAAGCGCCCTTACTCCAACACAAAATGTGGTTTGGTACATAATAATATAGATATACTCGTATGATCCTGGTTGTTGAACTAGGTGCTAGAATGTTGAACATCGATCACACAAGATATTAGTTTGAAAAGCTTTTAATAAAAAATATATCATTTACGTTAGTGTTATGTTCATTTGTGGCGACTCTTGCGTAGAAAGAAAAAATGGCGTCAAGTAGGTTAACTCAACCCTTCCTGCAGTACATATGTTCAGCAAAAATTAGACTCTCTGAGACAAAAGTCAGTCAAACAGGTCCATATAATTAGTCCAGAGTCCCGAGACGTTCCTTCGCTGCCCTACGGGTAGTGCGGCAGATATATGTACGTGTGATTCCATATCAGAACTGTCATCACGGTCTGCGCACGGCACCAGCAGCAGTCGCGGCAGAGAATATTTATCAGGGCCAATGTGGAAGGGTATAAATTACCAGCATAAAAAATTGAGATAAACCCTCCCCACTCCCTAATATCACCTACCTCCAAGTTTTTTTTCCAATTTTTTTTTCCAAAATGATCAGGATCCTCCGAAACGTCAAAAAAGTTTCAGTGATTTTTTATTCCCTGGCTTTAGACTTTTTTCTTTGCCGCCACTGAGCCGATTTTCAAAAACTACAAAGCTTTTGCGTCCTTGGTGTAAAAATTTCGGTTATAAGATTAGCAGATGGATCGACAGACAGACCGACCGAAATGAGTGAGATGGTATTTCATGTTGTAAGTACCTACATGTCTTTCATTGTACTACGCTTATATATACAACAAATTGATGTTTGCATCAGTAATATGGAATCCGTCTTACAATGTACATATAGCCAGGATAGAAAGAATTCAACACAAATTTTTGAAGATGTTAGCACATAAAACTCACCAACCTGTTACAGATCATCATTATACGCAAATTATGAAACAGTTCAATATGATTTCCTTAAAAGATAGAAGAACGATTTCTGACATTTGCTGTGTTCATAAATTGTTGAATGGCCTCACTGACTGTCCGGATCTTTTGGCAAACTTGAACTTTAACACTCCTGATAGAACGTTTAGAACCTATCATCTGTTTAGAATACCGTTCCGTAGAACTAATCTTGGTCTTAATTCCCCTTTGGTCAGGGCTCAAAAAAATCATAATAATTTCTGTAATATAGATTTATTTAACATTAGCTTGACCTCCCTGAAAAAGGCTTTAAAGTATGAGTATTACAGCTCTATGTCAGACTAAAATAGAAATGTTTTATTTTTTTACATAACTCAAGTTATTACCTCCAATATCATTTCTGGTATAATTTCAATTTAATTTTGATTTCAGCTTTAATTAAACGTAAGTAAATGTTAAATTATGTATACTCCTTTTATTAAAAAAGTTAAATTAATAGTTTATTGCTTATAATTAGAACTACTCACTCAGTTTATGTTGTTACAACAATATCGGAAGATAAAAAAAATATTAATTCAATAATGTAATATATGTATATGTATACGATATTTTATGTAAGTTTAGTTCACTGAGGGTGTGTGTTGGGTTTACCTGTTAACACCCCAAACTGTATATAAATAAATAAATAAATAACATCCAAACAACATAATATCTCATTTTCGAAATTTTTAAGAAGAAGAAACATTATTGAATTGACTAGGGTAAGGTTGGAAAGTAGGGAAGTTAGTGATAAAGGCGGAACTGTAAAAATAAAAATACGTATCTCCTTACAGCAGCTTGAAAGTTTGAGAATGCATTATTCATTGTAAGTAAGTTGAGCTTTATATTTTCCATATTTGTAGCATTGTCCATTTCTTGCAAAGACATTTCGGTAAGGAAGAATATTGTTACAATAGCTAAATAGTATTACAAAAATGTTGCCCTCATAATAATATTTATTTCCAGATATGACATCACGCAGCAGACGAATCATAAGTTACGCATTCATCCACATGGCCTCCACGATGCTAGTATCATTATAAGCAGAGGAGCGCCGTTTTCTTTGGAACTTGCTTACAAGACACACACTCGCATCAATTTTGACTCCTCACAGTTGGTATTTGAAAGCGTAAGTATATTAATTTATAGTGAACACTTTGCCCTATCCCAATTTAAAATAAACACAACTACAGTTAAAATTACATCTCTATCTGCTTTTGACAACTTTCACTTCAAACTCACTATATCTAAGATATAGATATAGATTTAGAATTTCGTCTAGGGGAGCGGGGTTGGCGCGCAAACGATATTTGGGACTGGTCATTTTTTAACCTCAGTGGAACTTCTATAATTTATCCTACGAGTATTATTGCTCCTTATCCATTGTGTTCTATCTGGTCAAGGCCAGCTTGAAAAAAAAACATGGAAAATGCTCAGAAATCCTCAGAAACGCAATATTTTATTATATGAGAAGAAAATAAGTACGTGGTTATAATTAACTAGTGTAATAATATTAAAGAGTAAAACATAAAAAACTCCATTGCCCTGTTACTCAAAAAAAAAAACATTTGGAGGGACCATGTGACATATCCCAGTCCATTCAACACAAAACAATGTCTTTGATTGCGAAAATGAACATGAGACCAAAAAATTCACATTATCGTATGAACGCTAGACAAGACAAAGAAGGATGTCTATAGACCACCTATAGATCGTGTCTTGAGACCTTCTCCTGACTGCCTATAGACAAATTGAGCAACGGAGTCTACTAGTATGTACTAAGCTTGACATAAATGACGTATGTCACGCACGTGACGTATGTCACATGACATCACACACGTGACATAAATGACTTATGCCACATGACGTCACACACGTGACATAAATGACGTATGTCACGCACGTGAAGTATGTCACATGACGTCACACACGTGACGTAAATGACGTATGTCACGCACGTGACATAAATGATGTATGACGTCATTCTATCTCTATCCAATACATCATCAACCTTTTGACTCACCCTGTATAAAACATTCTTGGCTCTCCCTGTATACTACACCTTACTATCATCATAACCGCAGGCGAACACAACAACACTGATAAGGCGATAAGGTCGACGACACATGATGTTTTTACAGATTTCGTTAGGTTTTGTGCAGCGCCTCTAGCGTCGGATTTTAAAACTAGTGAGGTAGAAACGGCTTAGCCCATCTACTACCAAAAAATCACAATGCTCAGTTCCTATCCCTATAACTTATAGTCAGTATGCCTCTGTCGCCACGATGTGTCAAAAAGTAACACAATGGTGTTAGATTACAATCACCAACAAGGCGTTGAAGCTGCTCTCGCCGAAAGCCCTGACATACTTGGTGACAATAATCAATGCGACGCTCAAAATCCAGTACTTCCCTGCTGGGTGGAAGACTGCTGAGGTCATCATGATTCCAAAGAAGGTGGGTTCGATATTTCCTCAGGATTACCGTCCCATAAGTCTGCTGTCAGCTCCTTCTAAGCTCGCCGAAAAGGTGATTTATCGTCACCTTGAGAATTTTTCGTCAAATCACCATGTGATTCCTGACGTCCAATTCAGTTTTCGGTCCGAGCATAGCACCGAGCTACAGGCAGTCAGGCTGGTGAAGCATGTAACCAGAGGGTTCACCCTTAGCATGAGTACTGGCATCTTGCTTTTGGATGTCTCAAAAGCCTTTGACAAGGTGTGGCACGCGGGCCTCCTCTATAAACTAATCCAAAAGGGTTTTCCTTTTTGGCTTCTAAAATTACTGAAATCCTTTCTTGAAGGAAGTAAGTTTCGGATCAAAATTAACAATGTTTTGTCAACAACACGGCCAGTACGGGCCGGTGTTCCTCAGGGTTCGGTCCTAGGACCAATTCTTTATTCGCTTTTCATCCATGATGTCCCTTCCCCCAGCAACTGTAAAGTCTACCTCTATGCTGACGACACTGCACTTGTCGCCCAGTCGTGTACTGGTGATCTGGTTCACGATGGGTTGCAGAATGCGGTGGACGAAGTTCTAGAGTGGGCAGAACGGTGGCTGATAAAAATTAATCATTCGAAAACGCAGGCTATTTATTGTACCAAAAAACGTCGCGGCCCCCCAGCAGAGGTTTCTGTAGACGGAAATCGTGTACCATGGACAAATTCTGCCAAGTATCTCGGTGTCACCCTTGATAAAGGCATAACCTGGCAGAAACATACAGCATCCATAAAAACAAAATTCGAAATTGCGTTTCGGCAACTATATCCTTTGTTATGTAGATCCTCCAAATTGAGTTTGATAAACAAAGTTCGACTATATAAAATGATTATTAGACCAGCCATTACTTATGCATGTGCGGCTTGGTGTTTTCTTGCCAAGACACACATGCAAAGTCTTCAAATACTGCAAAGCAGAACTTTGCGGACAATTTGCAACGCTCCATGGTATGTCTCAAATGAGACACTACACAGAGACCTTGACATTCCTTACTTGAGGGACTATGTCAAGCTTCAGGCGCAGCGACGTTATAGTCAAGCGGAATCGCACAGCAACCCTCTGTTGCGTGACTCAGTGGACTACACAGTGGAGCAAGTTCGTAAACATTCAAGGCCACGGCTCGCACTGTAATCAAAAGTTAGCGTGAATCTTTAGTAAACTCAAAATTACACTCTAACAAAACCGAATCAAAAATTTGTTTAGTTCACCTCAAAATTAATCCGTGTACCAAGTCAAAAAGCCTAGGTGTTTTCTCTTAAACTAAGCATATCTGTTTTTCTTTGCTCTTCTCCTTTTTTCTTCTCTTTCCCTTTCTCTTTTTCCTTGACTTTGTCTGGTTTCTGGGCAACCAGGACTGGCAGATTCGACTAACGTACGTCAGACAGTGACTAATGGGCAAAGGTCCTAGGGACCGCCAGACAAATAAATGACGAATAGTAGTAGATTACAAAAGCAAGTGTCAGACGTCTAAGTCTGAGACTGGATATATGTCATAAACGTGGTTAATTATGCTGCTGATCTGCTACACGTTTGGACGAATGAAGGATTTTTTTAAGCCGAAACAGCTGCGTAGGCAGAAGCCTAAATATAGAAGTACGGGTATCGCGGCTGCTATAAGGAGGAAGACCTTGTTACTCTAATTTTCGAGCTACCTTAAGTTAGTAGAACTGGAAATAGCCTCCTCAGGCAGGCTCTTCCACAATCTCTACACCCTAGGGACGAGAGAGCAGTCGTACCGATCGTACCAAGCTCGACAAGGTTAAGATGGGTGAGTCAGGTGAGTCTATCTGGCAGGTTCGTCGCGCGGCGGCATCATCGAGAAGAGCTTTGAGAAGCAAATCCCATTAGCATAGCGGTCGCCGACGAACCGTAGGGACGAAAGGTCCCGAGACTATCCGTTAGAGAAACTCATCGATCAGTCGGATAGCCGTCCTTTGAACAGCATCGAGCAAGGATAATGTAGTCGAGGCGGCAGCACCACAAGCATGTGAGCAGTACTCCAGGCTTAAACTAATAAATTCGCCTTCTCCCAGCTGCTGCCGCAATTGACGAGACGTGTTTCATGTCAGAGTTCGCGGTGGTCTGGTTTCCAACCAGCCGAAATGAACGGCTCTGGTAGAACTCTGCCATCAATCGAAACCGGATGAGCGCCAGGGCGCTTCTTGTTACTCAAGGTGCAGTACTGTTTTCGAAAGATGTTTCGTTAGACAGGAAGTCGCTGCTGATCTTCTTCTAGCTCACCGGCAGAGCTTGACATGCCTGTATGTACAGTGCTGGCATCAGCAAAGCTCTTGATCGGATTAATCGTTCAGGAAAGCAGGTCGTTGGTATGTAGTAGAAAGAATGACGGAGTCAAGACCGATTGCTGGGGAATACCCGCGTTGACCTTGTAAGATGAAAAGTAGAACCCGTCAATTATGATGATAGCTTGCGGTCAGAGAGGAACCCATCTGCCTCTCTCTGAGGCCATAAGACGGAATTTTGCATAAGAGGGCAGCCACAGCTGATCGAAAGTTTTCCATGTTTGAAGTGAGAAAGACGGAAGATAGCCATTTTTGTTCATTTTCATCCAAAATATTGTAGCATTGTCGTTTTTTTGACTAAGTGCGAAACGGAATATTTGCAAGACGGGTATCGTACGAGATTTTTATTAGATTTCATTTTGACATACAGCCAAGGCTCATTTTAACCATTTTCAGGCAGAAGAGGGCGAGGCCTTCAGCTTCAATGTAGGATTCCAGGGTTCTACAAACTTATACGGACTTCATCATCATGCTGATAGAATGACATTGAGAGAAACCGTAGAAGCCGATTCTGATCCTTACCGGTTAAAAAATGTTGATGCTGGACAATATCAAACCAACTCTACTAAGTCCTTATACGGAGCCGTTCCAGTTATATATGGGCATTCGTAAGTGTTCAATATCGGAAAAATTGTTTTCAAACCCCGATCTGAACGTAAAGGGTGTCTCAGAAATATTTTCGTTTTTAGATCAGTCCTCTGGCGGAATACGCATGCTCCGGAGAAACGAGACAGTTGACAAACGTTTGGCAACATTGTTAAATTTTAGTTGCAATGGAGCGTTTTACAGGGCCGCAACGTGCTTTTTGTGTTCGCGAGTTCTATAAAAACAAGGATTCTTATGTGCTTGTACGTCGTTTGTACAGAAATCATTATAACATAGCAAGAATGAGAGATGTCCCAAGCGCAAATTTAATTAAATATTGGGTAAGAAAGTTCGAGAGCACTGGAAACACGTGTATTAGTAAACCGCCTGGACGGCCAAGGTCAGCAAGATCGAACGAAAATATTGAACGTGTGCGCCAGTCCGTAAACGAGGATCCCCGGCAATCATTAAGACTGCGTGGAGCGTCTCTAACTTTGCATAAGTCAACTGTTCATCGCATTATTCGCAAGGATTTGCATTTTCACCCATACAAGATTGTTGTTACACAACAATTAAAACCACAAGATCCCGCTAATCGATTAGAGTTCTGTAGAACAATGAGAGAGCATTTTAACGGTTACAACAACATATGGTTTTCTGATGAATCGAATTTTCACATTAACGGGCATGTTAATAAACAAAACTGCCGATATGGGGCCGAGCAGAACCCGCAAAATCTTCATGAGACGCCATTACACTCGCCTAAAGTTATCGTCTGGGCTGCTATGTCAGGGCAAGGAATCATTGGCCCGTATTTTTTTGAAGACAATCGTGGCCAAGCTCAAACTGTAACATCTGAGCGCTACTGCCACATGATTAGGACTTTTTTAACTCCAGCTATACAGAACCATGGTGGCTACAATAGAAACACGTTTTTCCAGCAAGATGGAGCGACTTCTCATGTCACGAATCCACGAATGAATCCTTGGATGCTCTTCATCAGTTATTCCCAGAGAGGGTCATCAGTCGCAGAGGAGACATTAACTGGCCACCGAGAAGTCCCGATTTGACACCAGCAGATTTTTTCTTATGGGGATACCTGAAGAGTAAGGTATACACCCCACCGCCACAAGATTTGAGAGAGTTGAAGCAAAAAATAACAGATGAAATAAACGCCATTCCTCGAGCAATGCTTCGGAGAGTGATCGAAAACTTCAGTTCGAGATTAAGAGAGTGTGAAAACATGAACGGTGCTCATTTATCCGATACTCTTTTCCATAAATAAAATTAATGTTTAGGCTTTCGTTTGGTAATAAATTTATATTTGTAAAAATATTCTAAGTATTTTTATTTATGGCATAAAATAAGAAAATATTTATGAGACACCCTTTATTTTATAGTATATCAAAGATACATAATGTGTGTCTTAGGCTACAGATACAGGCCAGGATATTTGTTTCAGTGAAAAAACTGTACAAAAGGGCATAAAGAAATTGTTCATTATTGAAGGAAACTCACACAGTGTGTCCTGAAAGTTGGGACTTTCTTCTTTAGAATCGACTACGTTTGCAATACCAAAGCTGATTTGTGGTAAAATGACACCAAAAACGTAAAAAAGTAATTGAAGAAAAATACTTACTGTTCAATCAAATGCTGCCCTATCATATGTTTTGTTATTAAACACTGATTGAAATTGTCGCCGATCGATTTAAAAACATGAGTTTACTTATCTCTTTCTAAATTTGCAACATCTATTTTAATTTCGCCTTTTAAAATGAGTTTTGTATATAAACTAGGTTAACCTAGATAGACACCATGCGATGGTAACGACTAACGTAGTCTTTGTACAAAGATGAGCAATCCAACTTGCACATACCTCTTGCATCTTATGGCCTCCAAAAATACCGAATTGCAACGTTGTATTAGCACCGAAGACAGTCTAAAAAGCAAGATTGGTACTGGAAGGTAGTGTCCGAGCAATAAATCATAGATAAAAGGTACCGCATTCTATAGAGGCGCGTGGCTTGGTTGTCTCCAGTGGCGGTGGGCTATTGCTGTTGATCAGGTGTAAGCTTAATTAAATTCCCAATATGGTGTGATTTTCAAATCAGATTAAATCTTTATTTGTAATATATCTTCAGGCTTGTGTAAATATTCAGGGAGAAGCAGGTTGTTTGATTAATTCTGATATGGTAGGTTGGATGTTTGGTATTGAATAGACAAGCCGTAAGTGCTAGGCTACCGAACTTAGTTACGTTTGGAAACTGAACATTCTCATATAAAATATAAATATGAAAAACGTTTAGTTTACGAAATTAGCGCTGGCTATTTATCCTTCTTGCAACTAATTTCATTAGCTCTGAAAAGTATTTCACCAGTATTTATTTTAACCGCTTTCTGTGTCTATACAAAACTGCATTCTGGTCCACATGCTTCTTACGTTGTAGACATGTACTTGTGGGAGCGGAGTGTGGCAGGGTTACACTGGCTCATTTATTTCTTTTTAGAACCTAATATCTTAAAGCTTTGGTATATATGTTACTGAAAAAAACATGCTCATTATTGTCTGATCTCTATAAAGGAAAGTCCCAACTTTGAGGACACCCTGTATAAGAATATAATGAGACATTTATCCATTTTGTCTTTAATATTACCATTGATTAACATATGCTACCAGAAGATATACCAAAGGCTAAATTAGATTGAGGGAGGGGGGCGCTCCCACCCAGACATCCAAGTGTGCCATTTTTTTTCTCAAGAACACTGACCTGAATGTCCTTCCGGTCAGATTTCAAAGAAACATCTCTGGAGCAGGAAAGACTGCTGCGGACAAAAGCCACAACTTCCCCGTTTTTTCTCAGATTGGAGTGCACCTCTGAATTTGGGAAGCTAAGATGGTTAATCAGTGCAGTCTCTGAGATTTTTGTCTCCGCCAAGAAAAGCATGGCGGGACGATTGGATTGCAAGTAGTAATGAACGACGTCAATGTTGCTGTTAATCCCGCAGATGTTCGTGAAACGAATTTTATTTTCGATGTTGTTTTCTCGACTCCACCCTCCACCCGGAAATTCCGAGAGTGGAGTGAGTTTTCTTCAATAATGAACAATTTCTTTGTCTGTTTTTATTACTCCTAATAGAACTACTGCGATCCTACTTGGCAAAATGACTTTGACGATAGAAATTATATGTGAACATCCAAATATGACACATTAGAAGAAGAATGCATTATTCAATATTGCTTCACCAATAATTACTGTTTCCTATTTTTTAGTAAAAAAAGTACTAGTGGGATATTTCTTCACAATGCAGCTCAGCAGTGGGTTGATATAACTTACAAAGAAAAATTGAAGCCTTCAGCTCGTTTTATCGTAGAAGGAGGGACCTTGGATCTCTTTTTATTCTTTGGGCCTTCATTCAAAGATGTTGTCAGACAATATGTTGATCTGACCGGAAGAATGCATATGCCACAGGTATGGATGGAACGATAGAAGCAAAAAAAATTATGCTTTATAGATCAATTTTTCTTTTATTTTGAAAAATCACGCCACTCATTTATGTCTGTTCGTCGGTCTGTCTGTCTATCCGTTAATCCTATAGCCTTCTACAACTTGAGAAGTACCGTTCGGATTTATATGAAATTATTACACAATTTCAAAAACGACAAAAAAATTAAAAATGTCCAAACTTTGTTTTTTCACGTTTCATAAGATCATCATTTTCAGAAAAATTTTTATAGGAGCTAAAAAGTAGGTGTTGGGGTTCACTCGTCAGAGATGTCCTCGTACATTTACCTTTAAAACTTAGGAATATCCCCTATTAGTCGCGTGTCGATACGTGCGACGTGGTCTCCCGATGGACGAGCGTCATACGTCACAGTCGGCAATCGCTACCGCACTGCTGCTGTAGGCTGTGTGCACTATGCATTGTGAAGGCCAATATCGACATTCACACCGGATTGGTTATCGCTACGATCATGTGCCCCTGCAGGTATTTATCTCAGTGGGAGGATGAAGGTCATTTAATTTTTCGTTATACATGTTAGTAACTAGCTTTTTGCTCAAAAGGACTAACTTGTGCCAAACATAATACTTTACGAACTAATGACTGCGTTGCGTGGGAAGTACAGAATCAATTTACTTGACGCCATTTTTCATTTTTCACGGTCTTTAGCGAAAAAGTATTGTAATGGGATGATACATTGTGCGTACGTCAAGAAAAACCATCTCAACCATTTTTGTCTGTCTGCCCTTCACCCTTCCATAACTCGAAAAGTACCACTCGGCTTTGAGACCTTGGCACAAGCTTTCTACTATTCCAAGGAGAACAAAGATTTGTTGTTGTTTTTTTGGAGGAGATTAAAATTAGGAGTTGGGGGTTCTAGGGTGGTGAGGGGTTATAAATGTTGCATCTTTGGTAACAGTGGAAGAAGCTCTATTATTGAGAAGCTTCGGGTCCTTGGCAATACCACGCATCTGCGAGACCTACATGTAATAATCACACATATTTTCCATACATTTTCGATTCAAACTAAAAATAAAACGAATATTATTTATTTCAAAATTAGAAAAAAAATGAAAGTGTCAAACGAAAAATACAAATATATTTTTTTCAGTTATGGACACTTGGCTACCATCAATGTCGATACTCGTACTTGACGCAAGACGATGTAAAGGAAGTAGTTACCAAAATGGAGGAATATGATTTTCCAATGGATGCCATTTGGTTGGACATAGATTACACGGACGGCAAAAAGTACTTCACCTGGAATCCACAGAATTACTCAGACCCAGTCGGTTTACAAAAATATTTGGCATCGATGAACAAACGCTTGATCACAATCATTGACCCACATATCAAGGTAGACTCGGATTATCCAGTATACGTGGGCGGACAGGGGAAATACTTTGTAAAATGGGAAAATGGTAGCGATTTTCAAGGTACGAAATATTATATCGTTTCTAACGTTTAATAAAGTCCTATAATCCCCCATATTTCTCTAGCCAGTCGAAACCACATAGGATGAAAAAAATCTTCTTCATTGTAAAGGTTTCGGTCACAATAGTGACCTTCTTCAGTACAATGACTATATATTTTATCTGTCTTCAATTTTTTTTCTTTCCATCTTCATATTCCAATACCGTGTCTTACTACAATATTGTGAAATGCATCGTAACATGCTTACGTTACACAAGTGTGGAGTAAAGTCATCCAGCCTTATGGTGGGGCTCATGTTGTTGCTGTTGTTATCAGCCCTCTTTTGCAAACTTACATCCTATGGCCTCTCAGAGAAGCTTTGTTGTTGGGTGGCTGACTTTTTCTCTGGCCGCAAGATATTCGTCGTAATTGACAAGTTCTCCTCTTCATCTCACAACGTCAACGCGGGTGCTTCCCAGGGTTCGGTCTTGGCTCCGAAACTGTTCCTCTTACATATCAACGAGCTCCTTTCCTGTACGATCAATCCAATCCACAGCTTTGCTGACGACAGCACCCTACATGCAGGAATTCAGAGCGACAAGCCGATCTCTGGCGGTGAGCAGGAAAAAAGAAGACTAGCAGCAACTTCCTCCCTGACGAAAGACCTGGAGGTTATCACTGCACAATCTTGTATAGGTTAATGCGTCCAAAACAAATTACTGTACCTCGACGAGCAAAAAGCGTCCAAGCGATCATCCGGTTTCTGTGGATGGCCGAGTTCTGCCAAAGAGCCGTTCATTACGGCTGGTCGGAGTCCAAGTCATCGAGGACTTGATCTGGCACGAACACATCTCGTCAAAAGCGGCAGCTGCTGGGAAAAGGCTAGGCTATTTGTTTAGGGCTAAGAAGTACTTTTCTTCGCACATCTCCTCACTCTATACAAGGCCCAGGTAAGACATAGCCCCGAGTATCTCTGACACATTTGGGGTGATGCCGGTTGGCGATCTAGCTCTCTCCTACAGTTACACCAACGGGCTTTGTTCCCCAGAGGTGTCCTCCATGATGCCGCTCTGCGATACGCCTGCCAGACAGACTCGCCTTACTTCGGACTCCCATCCAGCCCGTGTTTAACTTCGTACATCCAGAACTGGTTGGTACGAGCGCTCCTTTGTCCCTAAGGTGTTAAGATTGTGAAACAATCTTTAAGAATGGGCTTTTCCCAGTTCTACTAATCTTAGGTGGTTCAAAAATTGGATTGACAATGTTTCTTTGTGATCCTCATAGCAGCAGCGTGTTCTGGCATTTAGGCTGTGGACTGCGCGGCTGCATCGGTATAAAAAAATAAAAAAAGATTACGCAAAGCCATTATTCCAAATAAGATGGCACCACACAAAACGACAATAGCCCAGGACCGCCTGGGGGTCAAAAACGGGCGGACATACGGAGATACAGGTCCCTAAAATGATACTACTGGATATCGGCTTTTCTTAACTTTTGAAAAATACTACATTATTAGAAAAAATTTTGACCGCGTAGTGACCAGACAAGTCGCTCGGGATTGACCATTCCTAACGGAATATTGCGGATATTTTATACATTCGGTATAATATATGTAATGACTCAAAAATGATATCTTTTAGAACCTTGTTTGATTTCGATGCCGTTCCTATCAATCTACAATGGTGTCTATCCTTAAAAAATAAAGCTTGATTAGATGTTTTGAAAATTTATATCCTGGGATTTTTGAAATCACTGATTGCGAGTCTATTATCAGAACAACTGTATTTTTAAAATGGAGGAACCAGTATACTGGGTGCGGTACAATAGATACAACTTTACTGGAACAAAGCTGAGTGTCTGAAAAACGGCTATGATATCAACTAAGCGCAAATTTTCTCGAGGTTCAGCTTCAGCAATATTCTTGTTTAGGTGTAGCTTTAAGCTATAATACCACATTAATAACATATAATAATTACTTATCTCTTGGATCTAAAATATAAGGTCCTTAATTCTCACCTTGAATGTTGTTACATTTTGTGCTGTTTTAATTTCTACTTGTAAACCACTATAAGTTCTTAAACCTTCAAGAAAAAGAGATTTTTGTTAATGTCCTAGTTTTGAATCGTTCAATATATCTAATAATGATTATTCGATCATGTAACATATGATAGCGTACCAGATTCATTTTTTTCATATATTTGCTAACATGAGTTGGTGCTTCCTGGTTTATAATTTTATGAAATAAAATAAAGTTTGCCTCTTCTATGATTTCCTGCACTGATAAATAATTTAAATTTTGTTTGGCGTGTACTTATTGCAATTTAATAGTATTCCATACACTTATTTACTAATAGTTGGAGCCTCTAGTTATCATATACTGAACACGAAATTAGTAATGATGAGTAATAATTGAAATGTGGATATATTCTTGTTATAAGTTATTTTTTCACACTACGGAGACAATTTAGATGAAATTCCTACATTTTTACAATTTTCACTTCCTACGCCAACTGACAAGGAAGTGTTGTAATCGCGAAAAATTTCAGAATTGTGATATTATGTTTTGTGGTAGATATCACGAAAAAACCTTTCACTTTTTTCATCGGTCTGTCCGCTATTTTTATACATATATAAAATTTTTACATAAGATTAGTTTCGGTATATAAAAAAGTACTATGCCAAGGTGGAGAAGCTTTGTAGTTTTTGAAAATCAGTTCAGAGGCGGCGAAGCTAGGAGCCAAACCCGCAAATGATATAAATCTTCATTTTTGACATTTTAGAGCCTTTTTCACCGCACGGCTATTATGTAAAAACCTATAAAACGCCAAAAAAAAAACAATAATATGTCATCTTACATACTAGGCCGTTTTTAGGGTGCAAATAGTTTCCACGTTTGCTCACTATGATCGCTTTGAGCGTACATCTATGGAGGAATGACTCAAAGACACGCGTTGTTGGTTGCAGAAAGCAAGTATATGTTTCGTGAAGCCGAGTAGTCTGTAGAGTTTATGTCTGAGAAGATGTGAAAGAAAGTTAGTTGAGTGGCAAGATCGCATCTGGATAATTATGGATAATTATGTTAATTATACACACATAATTATTATTATGATAGTTATGTGTGTATAAAATCAGTAATATTTGCTATGTGAGAAAATTATTACTGAATATGCTGTCAATGAAGTATATCCACTAGCTGTGCTCGACGGGATATTTATATGTTGTCCTTTCTGAACACAGGTTATGTTCAAAGCTATAAATTACAATTTTTCCCGTTTTCTTGTGTTTTCAAAACTTGGAGGAGCATTACGGGAAATCGCCACCGCGCACGCATTGTGCGCAATTGAGCCAGATCACAGAGAAACTAGGAATGACCATCACATATCAAACATTTTCGCAGTGCCTCACGTCTCGGCAGCAATTTATATTTTCTATTGACATCGCAAAATAAATTTCTATACAATTTAAGTGACTGGAAATAAGAAATAATGTAACAACCTTTTCACTTTCATACATATTCCTGTCTGTAGCATTTTTCTCACCTGTCACTTCACCAAACAGGGATATTCTTTTCTTATCCCTCTTATTTTTGAAAATCAGCAAATTTGCATAAGTAATTTCCAGAATGAATAAGAAAAAGTGAATGCGCAACTAATTTCTAGCTTTAAATATGTATATCTCAAGTATGTGTATTTGAGACAAGAAACCAATGGAATTATCATAAATACTGATTATTAGGACACAAATCTTAACTATGCACCTATGTACTGCCATTTCCTCCCAGCTATAGTATACAACTTACAGCTTAAACCTCCAGTAATGCCATCTCTGAAACAGATTTTACATCACATTAGAGCCAAACATTGATAACTGAAGCCTCATGACGTTTATGCGACACATACAACTACAAAGCGAGTTGACAACAAGTGTCCATTAGTTAGTGTTAAGTTAACAGTTAAAAGCCTACGGCATGTCACAAAAAACCTGCGTTATGTCAAAAAAACCTACAAAATGTCACTTTTCAAGATACGTAATACCCCTGCCGATCACTTTCGGAAAATGTTTTGCAGGAATTGAAACTTGGAAATTGGAGGTTGTGGGAGGTTGTAAACGTTACATATTTAGTATTAGTCAAAGGCGTTCTATAATTACGAAGTTTCTGATCTGGCACCGGTATTACGTATCTTGAAAAGTGACGTTATGACGATTTTTGTTTACAGTATATTGGTTTTTTGTGACATTATGTAGGTTTTTCTAGTTAGATGTTAACTTAGCTGTATGTATTGCCTGAACGTCATGAGGCTTCAGTTATCAATGTTTGGCTCTGATGTGATGTAAAGTCAGCTTCAGTGATGGCATTACTGGAGGTAATGAATAGGTGCATAGTGAGGATTTGTCTGCTAATAATATGTGTTGTTCCAGCGGATTCTTATCTCAAATACACTTCATTCAAAGCTAGAAATTAGTTGCGCATCCTTTTTTTCTTATCCATTCTGGACATAATATATGCAAATAAGCCGAATTTCAAAAATAAGAGAGATAAGAAATAATTATATTCACTGTACACTGTCGAATTACAAGTCATATACATTGTAACAGTAATTACGCACAACGTGGGCGCGGTGGTGATTTCCTGCAATTCTCCTCAAAGTTTTTGAAAGCACAAAAAAACGTAAAAAATCGTAATTGGTAAATTTGAAGATAACCTGTCTTCCGAAAGGACAACATGTAAATAACCCGTCAGGCACAGCTATAGATATACTTCATGGGCAGCTTTTTGAGTAATGATTTTCTCACACAGCAAATATCACTGATTTTATACACATGCAGACCAATATACAGAATCATCCAGATGATATCTTGCTATTCAACCAAATAAACAACTTTATAGTCAACGCCAAACAAAGTGGCGTGCACGTCATCACGATAAAAATTCCCCGACCTAATGCCTAGGTTTCTATCACAAACAATTGCTCTATTGCAGTTTCATATTAATGTGATATATAAATTGTAAAATCGTCATTACTCTCTTATTATGGTTAATAGTCATATAAACATTGTTATTAAAATATCACATAAGTTGCTTTCTGATAAATTTAGACGCATTATGCGAAATAAAATGTTTTGCAAACGCTCCAATCACTTATCGACATGTAAACGCACTAAACCGATTTCGCAGCGTTGACACATTGTCACCTTGAAACTTATTTAAACTGGGAACTGACATTTGTATTAATTTTGACACTGAATCAATTTGTGGCATTTCAAATCTTTATAAATCCTTTGGCCCCGCATACTGTAAATCAACAACTGTTTGTTTCAAAACAAAATTATTCATTTTACGAGTAGATACAGGCAATTTTGGTATATAAAGATGCCCAAACAGTTAAATAGTCGGTGTAAGGAACTCGTGGCCTCGTTAATGCACTACTTTGAGCAAGAAAGGGACAACAACGGGCCTTTGTTGCCTTTAAATGCTGTTCAAGAGGTAGGTTACTAATAATTATATGTAATGTATATTAATAATAGTGAAATTTTATTTCATTTTTTGTAGCGTGTTGCTGCTGCTTTAAACATTAGTTTAAGGACAGTTAGTCGTATTTCCGAGGGTGTGAAAAGTGATGCAAATTTAGAATCGCCCAAGAAAAAGCGGAGTTATATTAAACGTGTAACCAACACAGCGACATTGGATACAAGTGCCATTCGAGAAGTGATCTATAATATGGGTCACAAAAGTAAGATCTTATTATAATAACTTATCAGAAATTTGCATTAATTTGTTAACTAAATTATAATGTCATATTACACATGGTTTCAGAAGAACAAGTTACGATACAAACTTTATGGTCTCGATTAAGAGATAGGGCATTATTTGATGGTAGTGCCACGTCTTTAAGGCGGTTGCTTAGAGATCTTGGATTTAAGTGGCTTAAGGACAATCCGCGACGAGGGCTCATGGAACTACCAAGTATAGCTTTGAAAAGGGTGGAATTTCTAAGGCAAGACAATCAAGCCAAGGTTGAGGCCTTATACCAGTTTGTCTTCCTCGATGAAACTTGGATATTTCAAAATGGGACCATAGGTCGCTCTTGGCAAAATGGAAACCAAAAAAGCGTGAAAGCTATTAAAACAGATGGTAAAAGGTATGTACTTTTACACAATTTGCACTATAAAATTTAAAACTAATATATTTTAGATACATTATATTACATGCTGGAAATGAAAATGGGTTTATTGAGGGTAGTGAAGCGATATTTTCTTCGAAAACAAAATTGAGCGATTACCATGGAGAGATGAACCAGGACAATTTTTTGAAATGGTTTCAACATCAGTTATTAGAAAAATTGGAGAGTCCATCTATGATTATACTGGATAACGCCCCTTATCACAGCATGATATTGAACAAAGTGCCCAACAATGCATGGACAAAAAAAAATATCCAAGACTGGTTGACAAATCAAAACATACCATTTTTAAACACAATGTTTAAAACAGAGCTATTGAGTATTGTTGCTCGGTACATAATGCTTCTTAATTATATATATTTTGGTCGACAGTTTATATTTCTTTTGTTTATTCCTATTCTTAAAATAACTGCTTTTTTAGAAACAAACCACCTAAAATATACGTGATTGATGAATTGGCGGAACAACATGGGCACAAAGTTCTTCGTCTGCCTCCTTACCATTGTATATTTAACCCTATTGAGTTAATTTGGGGCATAGCAAAAGGTTACTATAACAGACATATTGGTAGAGATGGTAACAGTGAAAAAGACTGTTTGGATATGTGGAACGAGGCTCTACAAACGGTTACCCCAGACATGTGGAAAAATAGTGTTCGACATACTGAGCAAGAAATTTTTAAATGGTATGAAAGAGAACGAATTTTTGATCGACCAGACATCGAACCTTTAATAATCAACTTTGAGAGTGATGAAGATTCAGATTCAGACAGCGCTGAAGAAAGAAACTCCGACTAACTTTATTGTACAGAAAAAGCTTACACCAGTAGCTTACCTAATTTTAGAATGCATTTTTCTGTATGAATTCTGTAAAATAAATACCATGCATAAAATTTGGAGGACCCCATTTGGATTTTTATTCAGTACCTCTAAGCTATCAATTAAATATGGTAGTTTCATAGTGTCATCTGATCAATAATTGTCATACTTAATGATTATGCAAGTACAGATCTATAATTTTATTATACTATTATTTTTGTTCTCATTTGAGGTTAATATTGCTTATAAACCTAGATATGTAAATAATAAATTTTATTATTTTACAAAAAGTTTGGCAACAATGTAAATTTTTCAACACACCCACCTTGATGACGTGCACGCCACTTTGTTTGGCGTTGACTATATATATTATATATAGATGGACGTTCACAACGATCCTAGTGAGCAAACGTGGAATGACGGCTTGCACTCTAAAAACTACCTAGTCTGCAAGATAACATCTTTAAGTTTTTGACGTTTTATAGGTTTTTTACATAATACCCGTGCAGGTAACAAATGGGAAATTAAATGATAAAGCTTCGATGCATAATCGGCTCAAATAACTTGCAATCGTTGCATCGTCGTGGAGACCACTGCCTACCGTGCAATTTATAGGTCGCATGGATATACAGGGTGACTTCGAAGTTGAGTCATTTATTTTAACAGTGAGTAGATCTGATCAAAAGAAATGTTTTTTTCCTTTACCATTTTCCTGGTAAAATTAAAGTAACAAAGTTATAGCCCTTTGGAAGTTTGAGTACCGCCCTGTCTCAATAGCAATATTATGTGGTCGTGTTTGGCGACAATTTATATAATCCGCCGTATCGGTTCATCGCATCGGAAACAAAAAAGCGAAAGAATTTGGAACGATGTTTTTACAGGTATCTCATTCATTTGTATACAGTTAGTGTCAGTGACTAGTGGTATGTGTTGCGTGGCTCAAACGAAATAAAAAATGGCACATGTTTATGCGGATCGGTTTCCCAATCGAGTGCAACCAACCCCTCGTGCCTTTGTTAATGTAGTACAACGGGCTTGTGAATCAGGTGACTTAAGACCTCACAGGGGACCTCACGATCAAATACAGGTCCGCACTGAAATACTTGTCGGGAGGATACTTTATAAAACAAGGTAACATTTTTTTTTTATTTTTTTTTTTTATTTTTACACACATATTTTGGTTTATCTCCCTTCTACAATCATTATCTGAAAATTAATGACTCAACTTCAAAGTCACCCTGTATAACAGATACGGAATGACAAGACATAAATGCGAAACACGGACTTGTGTGATGCAGATATCTTTAAGTAACAGAAAGCTTGTGAGCTGCAGTAACGAATATTATCGCCAGTTTAATACTTCCATCGTTTAGGTAGTCGTAGATTTTAAAAATTGATTCAGAAGCTGCGAAACTACGGAAAAAAAATAAAATCGCTAGAACCTAGTGTTACAACGTTTCAGAAGCTCCTGCTCATTGTCAGACACTGTAGGGAAGGGATGAAAATTGTAGGTTGGATGCTCTATGCGATAAATGATTGAAAGTTGTTGCTTATTTGGTGTCAGTGAAATACCTTCTTTTAGAAAGAACTCCTAAGTATTTGATATTGCTTACATTTTGTACATTTGACACTGATACCGGGATCCGATTAGCATACACTTTGTTTCGTTAACATTCAATTCTTTTCTATTACATCGAAGCCAAATATTTAATTTTCTTATTTTCTAATCTAATACACTAACAATTTCAAAAATATTAATTCCACTGACAAATATGCGAGTATCATCTGCAAATAAGTTGACAAACGAATGATGATGGTGCTATTCAATAAAACCGATTACCAGTAAAGACATTTAAAGGCACGTATGCTCGCAATGCCATAGAGCCATTATGTATGCATTAGAATTTGTAATATTTTGCAGGAACTATCCCAGAATCATTTTGTTTCAAAGCAATTGCGATTGGCTAATGGTAGTTCAGAACGGTTCTAGAACTATTCCTTGTAAAATTCGAAATAAGCTATTATTTCAATTTTTAATGAATGCCAATAATGATAATGATACTAGGTACATTGTTTTAAGGATAAAAATATGCTTTCAGGCGATTGTTGGCCTGGTTTATCAAGCTACATAGATTTCCTGAGCCCAGAAGCCAGAGCCTACTTTGCAAACTGGTATCGATACGACAAATTCAACGGCAGTACTGAAACACTGGCTGGTATTTGGAACGATATGAATGAGCCCTCGGTGTTCAACGTGCCCCAATGGGAAAATACGTTTCCGCCTGAACTTGTGCACTATGGGAATGTCAGGCACAGAGATATCCATAATATGTATGGCTTTTTGCAGGTCAGTACAGTCATTGATTAACGTATTCTATCTGAAGATAGCCAACGTAATACTACACCGGGTCTTTCAAATTCGACCCTCACCATTGGGATATCGATCTCGGAAACGGTAAGAGATATGAAGTCGCTTAAATGAGGTCAACTTTGCGTATTTAGGTAACTAGCAAAAGGCCGCTTAGAAAGTTCCAAAATTCAAAGCACTTCCGGGGAGAGTCAGGAAAACCAAATTTTCCGAAAATCGTTTGAGTTTTTTCCTGACTTTATTTGTAGTTGGATTTAAAAATGAGTTGCACGTTAACGCTGCCCCTTTTTCTCCTATACATGATGGCATAATCAGAATTCCAATATTACATGTCGTCTATAGTCCTCCAGCATCAACTTTACAATTTCTAAAACCTTAGTTGTTTCAAAAAACGGAATTTCCTAGGTAGGCCCTGAAATAATCAGATTTATTTCTTATATCTGATTTATCAGAAAATCATTTTATTTTTTCTGACTTTATTTGAGAAGCGATTTCTAAATAAATTGAATGTTGTCATAGCCACCTTTTCACCTCTACGGATGGGGCATTCAAATTTTCAATTCGAGGCTTACTCTTTCTACTACGGCCATTTTTTATATGGACGCTATAGCCCATAGTGGAATTTTGAACATTTAAACATTTCTAAGAATAATATTACTTTCATTAAAAATGTGTTGTGGCTTAAATAAATGTAATATATTAACAATTAACAGAATCGATAGTTGTGTACAATTGAGCAAAGTTTCAATCGAGAGTCCATGGGAAAAAAAAATTGAGGATGAAGATTGAAAGCAGACACGTCTGATTGAGAATCAATAAGCAACGATTTTTCAATAAATCTGATATACGAAACAAATGACTATCTGATAATTTCAAGCCCTACCTAGGAAATTCTATTTTATCAATGTAACTTACGTTTGGCAATATCCAGGTAACATATATATTTTTGGAATCAGAATTAAGCACACTATTTAATTATGCAAAAATCCAATATGGCGTCGAATTCCCGCGTCCAAGATATTATATGAGATGAAGTGAGATACCGTAGCGTCATCTATGCGAATTTGTTATGGTTATGTTTCTCTTGTACGAGCTAACTAATTTACTTTGAAAATGTTAGTGTCTCATAGATTGCGTCTTAGAACAATTTACTTCCCATGTATAAAACTTTAAGAATTCAGTCATTTTTTTGTGTTTCGTATTACCAGAAGTAATCCGACAACTCTTGTTCAACCTGATTTCGACTTCCCACCGAAAGTAACTGCTGAGTAACTGGCAGCCTCGTTTTGAAGTTGTCGAAAAAGCAATCAGATATGTTGCTAGTAAGACAGTCCCGGGACTCTTTCGCATCGGCAAACGGTTGGCGAACAGGCACTCGTCTACCGCTATGTCAACGGGCTTCGATCCTCAAAGCTCTCCTATATGATGACGTTGCACTATGAGCCAGCCAATTAGACTCGGTCTTCCATCGAAGTCGTGTCGAAATTCGTACACTCTAAACTGGCCGGTACAACCACTCGTTTGTCCCTAGGGTGTTGAGATTGTGGAACAATCTGCCTGAGGATTCTTTTCCCTGTTGTGCTAACCGTAGGCAACTCAAAAATCGGATTAACAAGGTGTCTTTAGAAAAAATGGAGGAACACAATCTTTTTTATACCGAAGCAGCCTGTTATAGAGAACTACTCTACCTATAATGTCATTTCTCTGTTCGAGCTGTTTTCATATTGTATTCGATGCGCAAGTTATCGCGGATGAAGCTCATTCACCATTTGGTGTACGTTATTCTACAGGGCGATATTTCTAAGCATGGGAAAAATACAAGAAGCTATTTGTAACTCATTCTAATGTCTAAAATAGTACTGTTGGAAAATCGGATGTTTAGATCGTTGTTTTGATTTATCTCAGAGTGGGCTGTTAGATTCTTTTGTGTACCTCTTCGTATTGTACTAGCGGCGCCATACACATTGTACCTTATCATCACGTTGCGGGCCATAAACGTCCTCTTTGTGCCCTGAATACTTAAATAACTAACGGATCTTGCAACTGATAAAAAAGTGATTTGCTCGACAAAAAATACACCCTGGTATAACAAGAATATTAAGGCAGCTCAAAATTTGAGAGACAAACAATATAATAAATGTATATTCACAAAATCAAATGATGATTGGGAGGTATATAAAACTCAGGTGCCCACAAATTAGCAACCATGTGCGTCATACATGTATGTCAACCACCTTTGCGCGTTGATGGTTGCCGGTGTATGGTGCAAAAGCCACAAGCATGTGCGTCGTACAAGTTTTCCAGACTAGTCGGAATTCATCAACGCGCAAACATGAATTTGCAAACAAGATTGTCGGTGTGTGTCTTCTTCACGCATGCATTTTGGGTACAGTGTCTCGCGTGTTTATTATCAGTTTGTCGTCGCTTTTGACAATGTCTGATGTAAGACACTTTACAAAAGCCTTTTTGGCGGATTTTATTGAACTTTACAAAGGTTATCCTTGTTTATGGAAAACTAAAAGTGATGATTACAAGGATCGAAATAAGAAAGATGCAGCTTATTTAGTTTTATTGAAAAAGTTACAAGAAATTGAGCCAAATAGTACAAAACAGTGTGTGAAAGCTAAAATAAATAGCATCCACGGTAGCTTTAGAAGAGAAATGAAGAAAATAGAACATTCAAAACGGTCAGGCAGAGGGTCAGATGAAATATACAACACACATTTATGGTATTATGATTTATTGCTATTTACAAAAGATCAAGAAATGCCTCGGGAATCGGTCAGCAATTTGGTTGAGAATCAGGAAGGTGAAAGCGAACAAGATGCTAATAATGAAGATGAGGTAAGAAAAGTACAATCTAGTTATTGCAATACAAATTTATTTGTTAAAAATACTATTTACTACATTACATGGAATTAATACACCATCTTTCGTTGCTATTCCACTGCGTCCTCGTTATTAAAATAATGCATGTACAACTCTCTGACTTGTTTTGCCTCGTTGTTGACTCTTTGGTTGAGACTTTGTTGTAAACGAATTAAATTAGTTGGTTGTTCATCCAGTTCAATAGTGCCGGTACTTGTATTTTCTGTGTACATATTATTATGTGGTGCATATACAGTCGCACATCTTCTGCTTAAGTAGTTATGCAAAACACAGGTTGCCATAACAATGCTATCAATTGCTTCTAAATTAACAGAAATTGCTGTGTGAAATATTCTAAATCGATTAGACAATATTCCAAACGCATTCTCAACTTTACTTCTAGCCCGCGATAGACGATAATTGAAAATTTTTTTTTTCGTTATTCAAATCTCTGCGACTGAATGGCTTCAAAAGATTTTGTCGAAGGGTGAACGCTTCATCGCCAACAAAAACGAAAGCCAACAGTTGGGTTATTAGTTTTGTATTAGAAAAAAACGAGTATTACTTCATTGTGGTTTCAGTTTTTATCACATCAGTTTAGTTTGAATTCATTAGTTCAGGTTCTAGGTTTTGTCATGATTTTTGTTTTAGGTTTTCGTGTTTTCTTATTATTAAAGTCTTGCTGACTATATTTTTTTATGTTAAAGTAAACATTGTATATTATACTCATAATAATAAATGCAATATACTAAAAACATGCACATATTTTTCTTACCTTCATATACTCGTTTTTCAATACCTCAAATATTGCTCGACAGGTCTCCGGTATTATTTTACCTAACGACTGAGGAGAAATTAAAGTTGAAAACTTTAAATCTTCGTAATTTCTTCCTGTTGCTAAATAGCGAAGAGTGGCTGTTAATCGCTCATGTGGCGAAATTGAAGACCTCAAAATCGTGTCCTGTTTTACAATTAATGGAGACACTAAGGTTAGTAGCGTTGAGTAGCTTTCTTCATCCATCCTCAGGTAATTTCGCCAATCGTCAGGTTCTAAACGTAGTTCTTCTAGCAGACTAATATGGGTATATTGTGGGCGTTTTAAAAGCCATTCCTTTACCCATTTCTTCCGGATAGGTGGCTTTTTAACTAATCTATTTGTTTTCTTTTTAATTAAAGCAGCGTACGCCGCTGCCAATAGAATGTACTCGTCTTCACTGCTCATTATGCACTTTCAAACTAACTTGCTTAACAATCTTGTATGCAGGTCTGGGCTCAAAATCTATTGACATACATGTATGTCACACATGTATGAAAAAAGTGTATGACGCACATGGTTGCTAATTTGTGGGCACCTTTAGGAATAAATGTGTATATGTAATTAGAGAAGAAAAAAGAAAATTATACGATAAACAAATCGATAATAACAAGTGCGACAGTGTAAAGATGTGGAAGACTTTAAAAAGACTGATCAATTCGAAGCCGCATGATTGTGTAAATCAAGTTCAATTCGAAAACGGTACCGAAACAAATTCTTTGGTGATTGCAAACAAACTAAATGAATATTTTGTGGAAAGTATTGTTGATATTGTATGTACTGCCAATGCTGCACCTGACTATATGAAAATCAGTTTCCAAGGGGAAATGTTGCATACACTTTCAAAATTTCACAGCGTATCATTGAATCTAAGAAAAAAAGTAAACAGTTTAAAATCAAATAACAACTGTGCCGAAATGACTACTAAAAACGTGCTGAAAAACTGTTTCGAAATTTTGGGATATCCTGTATTAAATTTTATCAATTGTTCACTGAGAAGCAGTTCTTTCCCTGAAAATTTGAAATGCTCTACAATAACATCAGTTCCCAAAATAAAAAATTCTAAAAGATGCAGCGATATGAGACCAGTAAATGTGTTACCAGACATTGAAAAGTTATTAGAGTCCATAGTGCATGACCAATTAATGCAGTTTATAGAAGAAAACAAAATTTTAGTGGAGGCGCAAGCAGGCTTTCGAAAAAAATATTCCACAGAAACAGCTTTCCAGTTGGTAACTGAGAATTGGAGAAGAGCCATAGACTCAGAAGAAGTTGTCATAGCAGTATTTTTGGATTTGAAGAGGGCATTTGAAACGATTGATAGAGATATTTTGTTAGGTAAATTGAAGGCATATGGTATAACAGGAAGTGTTTTAGATTGGTTTAGAAATTATTTGTCTAAAAGGATGCAAGTTACAAAAGTTAATGACACTATTTCATCAAAAATTGAAAATACGTTGGGTGTTCCACAGGGCAGTATCCTGGGACCACTTCTTTTTATTTTGTACATAAATGATTTACCTGCCATAATCAAAAAATGCAAAATTCAAATTTTCGCCGATGACACTATGATTTATATAAGTACTAAAAATATTCAGTCTGGTATCTCTTATATAAATGAAGACTTGAAGCTTGTCTCAAAATGGTTAGCATCTAGCAGACTAAAATTAAATGCAAGTAAAACGAAAGCCTTGTTAATCGGAAAAAAACAATGTACAAATGTTCAACTAAATATTGATGGTGAAGATATTGAATTCGTAGAAAATTTTAAATACCTGGGAGTTTTTGTTGACTCTCGATTAATTTTTGATATTCATTATGAAAAAGTTATAAATAAGATTAGTAGTAAAGTGGGATATTTATCGAGAGTTTCTGGATGTCTGAGTTCATATAGCAGAAAAATTATCTATAATACCATCATTCTTCCAAATTTCTTGTACTATTCGACTATTCTATATTTAGCAAATAATTCATTTTTGAAAGACTGCAAATTTTACAAAATAAATGCATGAGAATAATACTTAATAAAGATAAATATACTCCAATTAGGCAAATGCTTAGCAAATTAAAATGGCTCAATGTAAAAAATTTTATCAAATATCTTGTAATGATATTCATTTATAAAGTAAAAAATAATATATTTCCATCAAGTCTAACTCATTTAACATCATCAAATGTCGACCATCATTTACATAATACCAGAAATAAAGATGAATTCCATTTAATGACCAAAAAGTATAACATATGCTACAAATCTGTATTCCATCAAGGGTTGATTGAATATAATAAATTATACTCGGAGATAAAAGACCAGAAAACTTTGACAAAATTTAAAGTAAAATTGAGAAATCACTTGTTAAATCTACAATTATAGGTTGCCCAGCATTTACATCATACACCATATGGCTTGAATTTACTAGTTCTAAGTTGTTTACAATTGTTCTGTTTATGTAGCCAAATGTGCTAAATAAATCTTTCTACTACTACTACATAAAATTCATTGGCTTTAATTTTAACAAACACAAAATAAGTCAAGCTGCCTTTGGAGACAAAAGTTGTTTTGTTATTATATGTATTGTTTGTCATTTATTTTCTTCTTGTAACAAAGCGCTTCTATTAAATTGACTTGTGTAAGCACGTTCTGTGTAATAAAATAAACCATTATTATTATTATTATTATTATTATTATTATTATTATTATTATTATTAAAAGTTTGTTTACTTATTTTACTGTCAGTTGACATTTATTTATTTTTAAGTTTTAGCTTTAAGATGTCGTATTAATTAGAAATAAGGAAAAGTATCTACAAGTTAGTTGTGCGGTACCCAAAGCTGAAATGTTTAGAATATCCCAGAATGAAATAATTTCACGCAAACCATTTATCGAACAATAGCGGCGTGCGATCAGGGAATACCATGTCTGAATCTAACAAAAAGTGGAAGACCACGTGCATTTACTGCACAGACGTCAGAGAGATTGGCGAAAAGAGCAAAAAATCAGGTTGGAAAGTCAACAAGGAGTCTGGCTCGTCAATACAGACCTTCTAAGAGCTCGATATGATGAGAATTGAGGAGAAATGGTCTTAAATATCGGAAGAGACTTAAGTGCTTCAAATACTCTCAAGCGCAACTCCTTCGTATACCAAAATTCTGTCGTCAACAAAAAGTATTTCACTTTGAGTAATTCTGAAATGAAGGGAAACGGCGGATATTATACGAACAACGTAGAGGAATGCCCCCCTGACAATGTTACATACAAACATGAAGCGAAATTTGCAGAAAAAATCTTTGTCTGGTGCGCAATTTCTAACAGGGGTGTATTCCAACCTTTTGTGGAAAGAGTGAGGGGTGAAGCTTTGAATGTTGATAACTGACTTTCCAAATTGTTTTAGTTTGCCCACGAACATCATGATCATGACCATATCATGTTTTCACAAGACCTAGCATCATGCCATTCCTCAAGAGATACCCAAAACTGTCTTCGACAACACAAAATACTTTTTGTTCCCAAAAACGATACCTAATCCTCCAAATTCGCCGCAAGCTCGCCCAATAGAGGTTTTATTGGGATTTACTGCCTAGGCAGGTTTATCATGGAGGCTGAGAAGCCCAAGATAAAGAACAATTAAGACAGCGAATTTACGAAAAACTGAGAGAAATTGATCTGAATTCCGTACAGCACCTCATAAGAGACATTCGAAGAAAGTTGCGTTTGGTAGAGTAGAATGGGCCACTCCACATAATTTGATTGAGTTGCAATTAATGATAACTAAATTTCTCCATAAAAAAAATCCGATAAATATTTTGTGCCAAAACTTTTAAGTCATACGTTATCACCGATTTGTTTGGGTTTGCATGTGTCGTTATTATTATTATGCCTATTGCCGCTATGTTATTATCACTACATCCAAAAAAAATTTCAGACGAAAGCAACCCACGAAGGGTTGCTAGCCAGAGACAAGCATCTGAAGCGTCCCTTCATCCTGACAAGGTCCTACTTTGCTGGGTCTCAACGGTACGCTGCAATGTGGACCGGAGACAACACAGGTGATTGGCCCTATCTGCAAGTAACTTATTCAGAATGTGTTCTCTCGAATCTTGTGGGACACGTTTTCTGTGGAGCTGACGTTGGAGGGTTCTTTTGGGACCCGGAACCAGAGTTACTTCAGCGATGGTACCAGGTAAAATGACACCCGTAGCTGTTATAACTGTTGTGCATGACCTCAAATATGTTACAAGCTGGAGTGCCGTCATAGATGCTGAGTTTAGAATTAAAACATGTTGCGTTTCGGATTCTCTTTCACGATTCTAGTCACATATTTCGGCGAATAATATTTTTTCATCTTCTCTAGTATTTTCATTGCACCTAACGTATTCAGTGTGTCCCACTTCGCTTCTCTCTCTTCCAAACTTCTTAGTGAAAAGAGCATTAATATACACAACTGAACCAATTGTTTTCTCAATAAATTTATCGTTTTGCAATGGTAAGTTTCCTGATGTATAATGTAATGTAGTGTAATAACTGTGCCTTTTTGTTTTTCAAAGATATTTAAATATTGTTTTTCTGAGAGATTATATTCACAGCTTGTCAAGAATAACATACTAACTGATGAACAACATGGTTTCTGTAATAATAAATCCACCACTACAGCGATATATTCATTTTATGGAAAATTAATTGGTCTGATTGAGGCTGGCGAATGTCCTGTTGGGATCTTCTTTTGTGATCTCAGCAGGGCATTTGACTGGGTCAGTCATGAAATATTATTAAAAAACTACATGGTTACGGAATTACTGGCAGTTCTCTCACATGGATCAAATCTTTATTCAAAAACAGGTCACAATATGTTTCTTTATTACACAATTCTGGTACAGAAATAAAACAAGTCCAGTCTTCATGCGTAGATATAGATATGGAAGTTCTCCAAGGATCTATATTAGGGCCTCTTTTATTTATACTGTATATAAATGATCTGGGTGAGCTGTTAAATGCCCAAGTAAATTTTACATTGTATGCAGACGATGCCTTAATTATAGTTTCAGATCATCACGATAATGTATTGGTCACTAAAATTAAAGACATTTTGAAGCATCTTGAAAAATGGTTTGCACAAAATCAATTATTTTTAAACTCAGAGAAGACTGCTGTAGTAAGATTTCACAATGTACATAAGAAGTTAGATAATATGAATATCAGGTTAAATGACAAACAGATCAAGTTATTCCATGACGACACTAAATTTTTGGGAGTATATTTGGATGAATGTTTAAATGTTAAAGCACGCTGCAAGTATATGATGTCTCTTCTAAAGTGACCTTCATACATTTATAAAGATTTACGAACAGTTCTGAATGGACAACTCAACAGTCTATACTATGGTCAGGTTGAATCCAGGCTGAAGTACGGCCTTTGCTTCTGGGGTACATCAAGTGCAATGACTGATGTATTTTGGTAAATAGTATGCCTAGTTGTAAGGAACTGTTTAAAAGATATAGAATACTTACCTTGCCTGGTTTATACAGGTTGACTTCGAAGTTGAGTCATTTATTTTAACAGTGAGTAGATCTGATCAAAAGAAATGCTTTTTTCTTTTAACATTTTTCTGGTAAAATTAAAGTAACAAAGTTATAGCCCTTTAGAAGTTTGTGTACCGCCCTGTCTCAATAATAATATTATGTGCTCGTGTTTGGCAACAACGGATATAATCCGCCTTATCCGTTCATCGCATCGGAAACAAAAAAGCGAAAGAATTTGAAACGATGTTTTTACTACAATGTACAATTTTATTCAGTTGTTTTCCGTCAATGTGTCAGTCGGTAACGCGTGAGTGAATAGTGGTGTTTGTTGCGTGGCTTAAACGAAATAAAAAATGCACATGTTTACGAAAATGCTGAACTTGTGGACATGATTCTTATTTACGGGGGGAGGAGTCTTTATGCGGATCGGTTTCCCAATCGAGTGCAACCAACCCCTCGTGTCTTTGTTAATGTAGTTCAAAGGGCTCGTGAATCAGGTGACTTAAGACCTCACAGGGGAGGGCATGCCGGTGCTCCAAGACCGCACGATCAAATACAGGTCCGCACTGAAATACTTGTCAGGAGGATACTTTATAAAACAAGGTAAATTTTTGTTTAATTTTTATTTTTATTTTTACACACATATTTTGGTTTATCTTCCTTCTACAATCATTACTGAAAATTAATGACTCAACTTCAAAGTCAAATATACATATACGAGTTGGCTGTGTTAACATACGTGAAATTAGAAAACTGTTTAAAAAATAAAGATGTTCATGGACTAAATACAATACAATGCAACCAATTATATGTACCTTTTGTGAAATACAATGTATTCAGGAAGTCTCCAAGGTATTTAAGGCCAAAAACAGTTTGCCAGTAGACATAAGAAATGCCAAAAATACGATATGTTTCAAAATAAAGCTTAAGTAGCATTACGCCGTCTCGGAAGATTGTGTTTTGTGAGATTTCAATTGTTTGTAGATTATTTGTTTATGTTTATTTGTTTTTTATATTTCAAATTTTGTATCCATTTTGACGAGTTCTATACATTGTATGTGTCGGAAAGAACATAAATTATTTTGATTTATTTATGATTTAATTTTTTTCTAAGGAGGAGGATTTATTCGTCAGAAAATAAAATTAATAAGTAACGCATTTTTTTCATCTAAGGAGGCTCTGACTTTGATGTTAAGTAATAATTCAAAGTATTAAAATTGTGTTTTAATAAGTAGTTGGTACGTTTTCTCTCATTAAAATCATAAATCTGACAAAAATATATCAAACCCGTTTAAAATGGCCGGTGTTCCCTACTCAAATGAAGAAAAGTTTGACATGGTATACTAGGAAGTCTAATGAATATTCCGATTCTGTAAATCATGTCTTGAGGTCCGATGAGAGTAGGTTTACGAATTATGGTGTTTTTAATAAGCACAACACTCATGATTGGGCACTCGAAAACCCTCACGAAGTGGCAGAGAGACGTCTACAGACCAGATTTGGAACTAACGTTTGGCGTGAGGTCATTGGTAATTTAATGTCTTTTTTTTTTAATTCCGCACCTACTTGAAATTAGGTATTAATCATTTCAGGAAAACACACAATTGTTAATGTTTTTTTTGTTCATATAACCACTTGCTACGGTTACATGAACAGCAGTCAACAATAATTGTCAAAAATGTCTTGATGCAAATGGATGTTATTTTGTAAATCTGTAAATTAATACACACATACATAATTAGGTTTTACGTTACATTACAAGTTTGCAAAATATTGGTTTGCTTAACTGTACAATAATTTTAGGACGATTTTTCTGAATTGTTTTTTTAACACACTCATAGTTGGGAATTTGTCCCAAAACATTTGACGTGTTGAGAAGTCGATATTAACGATAATATTCTACTCATTAATGTTATTTTCTGACAAATAAATCATGGCCTCCTTAGAAAAAACATTGCGTGTGATGATATTTCGATGACCCTCCAATCTTTTATGCACTTGTGAGACACCGCTTTGACAGCTGCCAAATTAACCGTTTAGAATTTACAAATCCGCCATTTTCGGTTTTTCGCTGATATTTTCAAAACCACCCGTAAATCTGAAACCGGTTATTGAGAGCAATAAGTTTTCTCTAAAACTTCCCCCATTCAACCTTTGGTGTAGGTATAACAGGAGCCAAGATCCCTGCATAGAAAAGCGAATCTGGGACGCACTGTATATTGAAAGGAAACATTTTATCAATTTATATATTTTCAGGCTGGAGTGTGGTTACCGTTCTATAGGGGACACGCAAATGCTGATACAAAGAGGCGCGAACCATATCTGTTTCCCGATGATGTCCAAACAGTTGTTAGAAATGCTCTCAAGACGCGTTATAAGCACCTGCTCGTTTTCTACACTCTCTTTTATCAGCATGTCACCAATGGTGATCCTGTAGTCAGGCCTCTGTTTTATGAATACCCAGACATGATCGACATCGATGATCACATTTTGATAGGTAAGCTAAGGGCTCCATATGGTGTTCCAAATAAGGTAGCAATCTTTCGGATGCAGAGGTGCATCAAGAAAATATTTTGGGGGAGGGTCCATATGATAAATTTGAAATTTTTTATGACCAGGATCATCCCCATCTCGGAGGTATTGGCGACGATTGCAAATTGAAGAGCGGGAGCGGGGAGATAGGGTCGCCAGCAAATTGAACAAGTTCCAAATTTTTTTTACTCGAATAGTTCGGGGGCCTGGACCCCCAGGATACCGCCTGGATCCGCCACTGCTCGGATGCATAATCAATACAAAACATAATGCGATGAAATTAATATAAAAAATATCATACGCCCCCCCACGGAGATATAGATGCCTAAATAACACTACTGGAAATGGATTATCTATATACAGGTTGTGAAATCTCGAAACTGGATATACTTGAGACCAAAATATGTAAATTGACCTAAACATACCTCAGTCTACAGGTTGATAAGTTTGCGAGATACAGCGTGACAAAGTTTCAATTTTATTTTCTATTTTTCCATATTGCTTGAGAAGTATTTCAGATTTTGGCATAAAATTCGGTATAGGGAGGTTTTCTAGTATAATAAACAAGAATCCGTTATTTTTTATGGCCAAACTTCTAGAGGGCGCCACTTACAGCACTATTTCGGTAAATTACCTATCATAACTTTTTTGTGCCACCCTGTATACAACAACTGATCAAAAAATCTTGTTTTCTCGTATTCTCACAACAAAAAAGTTTCACTTGTTAGAATTGTCTAAAGCTAATAGTTTTCGAGATATTCGTTTTTAAAAGTTCCAATGCTTTATTTGTACCATGACGATAAAACATTTTAATAACATTATAATCAAGTTGTTTTGTATAATCTCTGAGTAGCGGTGCTATGGTTTTAAACAATAACAAATGAGGATGGTAACAAAACTAATAAACGGAAATAATAACTACAAAAATTGTTCAAAATGAGCACCACCATGCTTAAGGCCCGTATCGTCAGTCGTCCCTACAATTGTAGGGCACGTTTATGGCCTCCTTGATTGTCATACTCCTTTCTCTCCTTCAAAAATTGACACTTGTCCCGTGTCAGCGTCAGCGCTCTCCTATTGTGAAGATATGTTTTCTTTTTAAATTGTAGGAAATTTCAGGCTGACAAAACATGATATAACTCAAAAGCAAGCACAATTTGATGCAAATAGATGTTTGTGACATAACCTTAAAATAGAGCGCTGACACGGAGAAGTAGAAAACTATGACAATCAAGGAGACCATACAGGCGCCCTACAATTGTAGGGCGCGTTTATGGCCTCCTTGATTGTCATACTCCACTCTCTCCTTAAAAATTTTTTTGATTACACTTGTCCCGTGTCAGCGTCTGCGCTCTCCTATTGTGAAGATATGTCTTCTTTTTAAATTGTAGGAAATTTCAGGGTGATAAAACATGATATAACTCAAAAGCAAGCACAATTTGATGCAAATAGATGTTTATGACATAACCTCAAAATAGAGTTCTGACACGGAGAAGTAGAAAAATATGACAATCAAGGAGGCCATAAAGGCGCCCTACATTTGTAGGTACGACTGACGATACGGGCCTAAGACACTCTCGAGCTCGACGAAGTAATCCTTGCTGCACTCTCCAAAGCAATTGGATGTTATTTTTCATTTCCTGGCTATGGTGGAAAATTCTTTGCCGATGATCATCTACAGTTTCCACTGGCGTATTGTAAACGCGTCGTTTCAAATCATCCCAGAAGAAGAAATTCATAGGATTCAAATCCGGCCACGATACAGGTCCTGATCGGCCTATCCACTAGTCTGGATAAACTCTATTTAGGTGCTCCCATATATACTAAAATGAAGTGGAGCGCCGTCGTGCATAAACCACATATTCATGTGTGTTTGTAATGGAAGATCTTCCAACAGAGTAAGTGAGTAATATTGTTCAATTATTTCTGCCCATAAATTAATTTAAAATTGTACTTGGTGGCGGGTTTGTATTATTGCATGAGGATTTTCGTCTGCATAAGTGTGAAGATTTTGCGATTCAATGAGAAAATTGGTATTTACTGTACATTTGGTAACTTGAAATTCGCGAGATACCTACATTCCTAACCCCAACTGTAGGATTTTCAAAGATAGCATCTAAAACATTTTCTTCAACCTCAGCTGTACGTACAGTTCTGGGAGCTCCACAATGTCGCTCCATATTTTGAGCAAAACTACCCAAAATCCAAATGGTTTTTACTACTCAAAATAAAGATATAATCTTCGTGCTTTTAAAGCATTAATTACATATTGCCCATGCATAGATACATTAAATGCATATTAGAATATTCATCAAACGTATACTCCATGATGTTTAACAACTTATTGTCAACTTAAAATTACTCATGAAGTCTAAAGCAATATCATGACAAACATTAGAAACCATAGCAACGCTACTCAGATATTATCCAAAGCAACTTGATTATTATGTAATAAAAATGGTACCAATAATCCAATGGAACTTTTAAAAACAAATATCTCGAAAACTATTAGCTTTAGATACTTCTAACAAGTAAAACTTTTTTGTTGTGGAAATATGAGGGAATAGAAAAGCTATGATAAGTTATTTACCGAAATAGTGCTGTAAGTGGCGCCCCCAGAAGTTTGGCCATAAAAAATAACGGGTTCTTGTTTCTCATACTAAATGAAATCCGAGAAGGGCCTATGGTTTTATCCGCGAAAATATACAGGGAGTTCAAAAAGTATCGATAGGTCAAAATATCCCTAAAAATACGCTTCCTTGAGAAACATTTAAAAGAACAAGGTTGTAAAGTTTGTAAAGATTCATCCATTGGTGATCATGATCGTGATATTGACTATGAATTTAAAGTCATTCGAGGGTCAAAGCAGTTTTCCTCAATGAAACGCTTATTTTGACATTGGAAATGTACAGAGCGGGAAATTTTACGTACACGCATACTTTTGCCCTTTGACCTTGGCCATGATATTCATGAGTATTTGAGGGTGCTTAGGAAGTGAGGAAATTACAAAATATCTCGAAAAATATGTTTCACAAAGAAAAATGTATAATAATGTTGTCAGGTTTGAAAAGATTCATCTAATGGTAAGCATTATTGTTGTTATGAACTTTTGTTATTCAGTTGTTAATCGAGCACGCGCTCAATGGTCCTCCTACATGTTGCGTCTCTCTCGCACTCGCGCAGAGCATACACTGAGACGCGCCCGATTAACAATTGAAATTTGGGATTTTGTTAAAGGATGTTTGAAGAATATTTAGGATCATTGATAACAGAACAATTTTCATTTTTTTATATTGTTTTTCGGGGTCGAATATGACGAACTTTTTCAAATATAGTATCCTTCTATCCCGAGAACTAATCACCTCAGAGAAAAGGTCTGAAGTACATTTTTTGTTCATAGTGCTCCAAAAAAATTTAAATCGCTTTTGTCCAGATCGAAATGAGCAATTTTTGAAATTTGTTTGAAAAACATTGTTTAATAAATTTGTAACGCAAATTTGGTCTTGGGAACATGCATAATCGCCATAAGAGGCTCTTTTTTGATAAGTTCATCGAAAAAATCTGGATCAGAACATTTTTTCCGTCAGATGCGAAGATATTGCCTGGACGATAAATAAATGCTTGGCTGATGACATAACACCTACTAAGGAAATTTTGTTTTTTTTTAATAACTTGGAATAAGATTTGGCAATGCCAATGAATGACGTATTATACATTTTTGAAATCAAAATTAAAAGCTTCATTACCTGTGCAAAAACACAATGTAGCTTCTCTAAGAAAAAATAAAGATGATGACTGACGACAAGAAAGACGAAACGGCATATTGAAATTCTAATTATGGCGTTAGGTAGAGCAGAAGCACTGGCAATGTTAATGTACCTTCAATTTTTAAACCCCATTTTAAATAAAGTCATGGAGAAATAGAAACTATCTTGGGAAAAGTCGATTTCTTTCGTTTATCTCCGGAAATATTCAGAATTCCAAGCTTTGTGCCATTTTCTAGGTTGCCTGCGTGCACAGCTTTGCCCCTATTCAACCGAATTCGATTCTATTAGGTACCAATTCCAAAATCCGAATTGTGAGAGTCGAATTTTAAGCACCCGGTATAAGTGGATCGAATTTTTTTTTTCTACCGGGCTCCGTGGGTAATACCTGGAGCTCTGTGGTGAGGAGTAGTATTTCAAAAAAGCAACAATTAATAATTCTTCAACAGAAGAACTTATAATAATCACGATGTACTCATAGGTATTAAGTAGGTACGTGTGAAATTAGGCGTTGAGAGATCAGGACTGATAACCATGATACTAATTGATGTAGATACTGAAACTGATAAAAGCTTGATAATTCCATGAAATCCGTGAAGCAAGTAACACTAATCCAAGGAAAACTTATACAGGGTATTGAAGATAGGCCGTAATTACAAGCGCGTATTTCTGAATCAAATATAACTAGAAAAGTTCATACTAACAACGTGTGTCCAAGAAAAGTCTGGTTTCCAAAGTTAAAAAAAAAGTTATTTTATCAATGTCTCAAAAATCTTTGTGCCAACTTTTTTGGCGTTTGGCTCGTTGTTTATTGTCACAAGACGCTAAGCTAGCTCTAGCTAGGAGGTAATTATGAATTCCAGAAGAGGAGAAAAATAAAAACAAGTAAAAACATTACTTCATATTGAAAAATTGCTAAAATAAAATAAAATCGATTGAGCTAGGGCATATTGTTCTGTTGTTATGAACATATTTTTTAATTACTGTGACAGTTTGCTATTATATTTCCTCTGTCAAATTTTATTTCTTACGCCACTGACAAGGAAGTATTGTAATCGCGAAAAATTTGGAAAATGGGATATGTGTTTTGGAAGGTATATAACATGAATATCACACAAAACCATGTCGGTCTGTCTGTTTGCCTGTCCGCTAATCCTTGACTCGTCGATAACTTAGAAAGTACCGCTCAGACTTGTATATA